GTTTATACCTTACCGGATTCTGTCCCAGTTGCTCCTCTTCCAGTCCAGCTCTCTGCTGTGGCCAGGGAGTGCAGTGGAGGATGGCCCAGGTGCTTGGGCCCTGCACCCCATGGGAGACCAGGAGAAGCACCTGGGTCCTGGCTTCAGATCAGTGCCATGTGCCGGCCGCAGCGCGCCGGCCGTGGCGGCCACTGGGGGGTGAACCAACAGCAAAGGAAGACCTTTCTCTCACTGTCCACTCTGCCTGTCATACACACAAGGATAAGGAAGAAAGAAACAAAGCGTAAACTCATTAGCTCAGTATAATCCTGTTTTTTTTTTTAAAGATTTATTTATTTATTTGAAAGTCAGAGGTACACAGAGAGAAGGAGAGGCAGAGAGACAGAGAGAAAGGTCTTCCATCTGCTGGTTCACTCCCCAGTTGGCCGCAATGACTGGAGCTGCGCAAATCTGAAGCCAGGAGCCAGGAGCTTCTTCCAGGTCTCCTATGCGGATGCAGGGACCCAAGGACTTGGGCCATCTTCTACTGCTTTCCCAGGCCATAGCAGAGAGCTGGATAGGAAGTGGAGCAGCCGGGACTTGAACCAGCATCCATGTGGGATGCCGGTACTGCAGGTGGGGCTTTACCCGCTGTGCCACAGCGCAGGCCCCTAGGACCCTGTTCTTCAAGCTCCCGCAGGTGCGGGCCTCCTGCCCCGTCGCCTGTTACCGGCTACTGCCCTCGGTCACTCAGTACCAGTATTTCTTGGTTGGTTCTCGGATTGTTTCTGGCGGTTTCCGCAGGGCTCCCCAAAGCGAGTTTGCAGGAGGGGGGTAAGCAAGTGCCCCTGGAGCAGCCACGCGGGAGCTGTGCAGCCGCCTTGGGGAGAAGCCGCCAGCTGGTGGCAGCATTCACAAGAGCCGGCTCCGTTTCCTCTGCTACCTCGAGGCTGAGTTGCAAAACAAGCCAGGCAGCAGGTCCCTGCCAGGGCCAGCCCGGGAACAGCGCGCGGGCCAGGCGCGCAGGGGAGCGGGGCTCCCACACTGTCCCCAGTGCACGGCGGGCAGCTGCTGCCCCAGGCCGGTCCCCGCCCCGGGCAGCTTGCAGGGACCCTGGGCAAGGACACTCCCAGCCGCCCCCACGGCGCCGCCCCCGCCCTCCCCGGAAAATATAGCTGTGTCATTTTAGAGACATTTTTAATGTCAACCGCTCATGATATACGGATTGGGAAGCAGACAATTTTGTTGTGCTCTGGCAGGAAAAATAAAATAAGATAAAAAACAGTGTTTTCATCCGACAGCAAGGACAGCGACAGCAAACACCACCCAGGGCACGAACCCAGGCACCCACACCGTGAGTGAGATGTTTCCCTTCCAGGCCATTAGTGTGCGATTTGCATTTCAAGTGCGCAAAGTCTTGGGGGAAAAAAAATTGATGTTGTTGTTTTTAATGGAAATGCGTTCGCAAAATCCAAACACAGCAAAATCCAGATGAGTGTTAGTAAGAATTTTAAGTCCCTCACTGTAGTCGCTTTTGGAGTATTTACATTCTCGTATTTCTGCAACACAATTACATTTCATATGAAATGTTTTGAATATTGGATTAGTCACAATTGTACCTACGAGATAAATGTTTTCCAAAACAGTGTTAATTCATTTCCTGTGCTGTTTGGAATTCTTATTTTAAAGGTTGTAATAGTTGGTTCTACTACATGTGCACATTAAGTGGTCATCTATTTTAGAAAACAATGCTGCACAAATGAGCATTTAGGAAAGACGATTTAATCAATATTTTTAATGAGCAGAATAAATACTAGACTGGAAAGTCTTTATAATTTCGGAGGAAGTGATACCATCCATTAACAAACCTTAATTCTTTAAACAAGCCATTAACACATCTTGATTCATCCGAAGCTTGCAGTCCCATGCATAGATACTAATGATCCAAACAGCAGTTACATTCCGCCCTGTAAACCATTCTCTTGCACATACAGCGTTAGCATGTTGCAAAATTCTTGTGCAATTGCAGTTGAAACACATTAGCAAAGAGATCTGTGCAGAAACGCTGGCTGGGGAGGTGCAAGGCATCCCCTAATGAGTCTGGATGAGGGAAAGTCTGCACAGGGTTCATTCCAGAGACGGAAATTATTGCAGGAGCTACGGAACAACATTGTTCCATAAAGCGGGGTGTGTGTGTGTGTGTGTGTGTGTGTGTCCCGCGTTCTGAAGATTAAGTATCCTCTGACATTAACCTGTGGAACCAACACAGATACCTCCCAAACAGCTCCCCAAACGCGATTTAAATCGGAGCTCTTCTAACCGGTGACACAGCGCTTCACAACCCGCTTAGCTCTGGGCTGCGTTCTCCTGGCCACAACGTGCTGTCCGCTCCCAGTGTTAAGAACGAGGGACCGTGGTCACCGAGGTCACACATAAGAGCGTGGGTTGTTAGCAACAGGAGTCTCTGAGCACTGACTTCCCATGCAGGACCTCTGTCCTCAATGAGTCGGATTCTGAGAATTAACTGTAAAAACAGTCCCCACTTTGTGTGTGTGTGTGTGTGTGTGTAAATTGTTGAAATCTTTACTTAGCGTAGAGTTGGTGTTCTGTGTACAAAGTGAACTGAAAATGAATCTTAATGGAGAATGGAACTGGGGAGGGGAGGGGGAGAAGGAGGTGGGGTGGGAGTGGGGGTGTGGTGGGAAGAATCACTATATTCCTAAAGCTGTACTTACAAAATTTGTACTCATTAAATAAAAGGTTTCTTTGGAAAAAAAAAAAATGAGGGAAAGAGGCGGGGCTGACTCCCAAACACTACTGTTGGGTTCTTTCCCTCTACATGCTTCCTTAAATAAAACAAAGGGGAACTAGGCGTGCTCAGTGCTCCTGTTTGTGTCATGGATTCCTCACGCGTTTCTAGATGCTAAACTTTTACAAAATTGATGGCTTTGGGGAAAGTAATTCAGTGACTCCAGATGGGACTTCAGGTTTTCCTAAGAGAATCATCATGGCGTAGGCTTCTACCTTCACACACACAGACACACACACACACTCCTGGCTAAAAGAGGTAGCCGTTTTGTTGTGGGGGAAGGGAAAGAGTGACAGGTCTGGGACCATGAGAAAAAATGTCATCCACGCTGCTTGCTGGCGGCAGGCCACACAAGCAGCCATGTGAGCCGACGCCCGCTGGGAAAGCCTGGGAGAGCAGCTGGAAGACCACGAGGCCCAGCGCAAGCTCTACAACAACAAACACACCGCAGACGAGGACCGGCTGCTCCTGGCTGCAAGGGCGGGGGTCGCGGGCCCGCAGCTCCGGAGAAGGGACGCCTCAGGCCTAGGATGTGCGGGACCCGGGAGCTGGGACAGCGCGTGGCCTGCAGCTGCGGTGGGCCAGCCATCCCTGGGAGCTGGTGCTTTGTGTCTGCCCCACTCACTCAAAATGCTGGCGTTTACCACCAGGACAGGCAGGAATCAAACCAGTGAAAGCCAAAATAAACACACACAGTGACCGCTAATCGCCTGCCATGGCATAGCAAGTAGGTAAGTATTCACCCGAACACGGAAAGCTAACGTGTTCTGTAAAAGGGTAAAAGATCAGACGAGAATGAAACCATTGTGAAGACATTTTCTCAGAAGGCAGGTCACCTGATGCTAAGGAGGGTGTCCCCACCGTCCGCGTCCGCTGTTCGGGGGTACGGCACGCCGGCCAGGTGTCAGGGACCCCGAAGCTGATGTGTTCTCAGGAAATCCCTCCATCCGCCCCCTCTGCGCAGCCACTTTTGGGCAGCATTGGTCGCCGCAGCCTTTGGGGCGGCCCCTCCCCCCCGCAGGTGCACACACCGGAGGCCGAAGCGCCCTGGGGGCCACTTTCTAGAGGGAGGAGGTAAACATGGAAGGCGATCCCACGACGCTTCCTAAATGGACGCCTAGCTGGACACGTGCTTAAAATGACAACGCCACAGTGCAGCCTGGGCCACACGTCCCAGGGAGCCGTGGAGACGCACGCCTGCGCCCAGGAGCCCACGGACGCAGCAGGTGTTCCACGCAAACTCCAAGGCCTCGATTCACCAAAAACAACCCACCCGGGGTTCCAGGAGGGGCAAACGGCCGGGCAAGCGGGTCCCGCTCCGGCTCCTAAGCGCCCGGCCCAGCTGGATGCGGCGGTGTGCGTGCGCCCCGGTGGCCGGCCCAAAGAGTCGCCCAGGGGCGCCGGGGGCCCGTCCAGGGCCGCCGGCCCTGCAGAGGCCACCGGCCGCGCGCACAGGTGCGGCCACGCCCACCGCCCGCGGCGCGCTCGGGGTGCGGGGCCCTGTGCGGGGCACGAGAGCCGCCTCCGCCCGGCCGGCGCGCGCGCGCCCTCGGCGGCCTGCTGGCCCCTCCGCGGCAGCCGCTCTCCACTCCCGGCCCTGGCCCGGGGAGGGCGCCCGGGACGCCCCGGAAAGGGCCCGTGCGCGGGAGCGCGCGCGCGGCGTGCGGGGGGAAGGGCGCCCCGGGCGGGGTTCCGGGGGCCGTGCCCGGCGCCCCCTGCAGGGGCGGGCCCCGCTCGGCCCTCGATCGCCCACGAGCATTTCCCCCCCCCTCCGCCCACGGGCCCACCGGGCGCGGGATGCCCCGGAGCGCGGCGGGGGCGACGGCGGCGGCCCCCGCACCCGCCCCGCGCCGCCTCCCGGCGGAAGCTCGCAGCCCGCTGAATGGAGTCCGAGCGGGAGGGGCAGGGCCCTGCGCGCCGCGGCCCGCCCCCGCCCCTTTCCCGCTCGGGGCGGCAGCCGCGACGAGCCTCTGATTAATGGGGTTCGGGCCGCCCCCGCCCCGCCCGGCCCGCGGCCCCGGCGGGAGGGGGAGGGGACGGCGGGAAACGCGGCCCCGGGAGAAAGGGGGGCGGGGCGGAGCGCGGGCCCGCCCCCCGGCCCCCGCGGCCCGCGCCCATTGGCCCGGCGCGCCGTCCGTCGGGGGCCGCGGCGCCAATGCGGGCGGCGGGGCGGGGCGGCCGCGCCGTGTGTGCCTGCGTAACGCCGAGTCACATGTTGTTTTGCTCCTCTTAGTTCAGTCACTCGGTGCGCGATGTGTTACTCACTGTGCGGCGGGGACCGCGACGAGCCCGGGTCGCCGCTGGCAGCGGCAGCAGCAGCTTCGGCCCCGGGGGCGGCGGCGGCGGCGCGGACCCCGAGCGCCCGGGTGCACCTCGGCTTCCCGGAGCGCGGCGCGGCGGCAGCGGCGGCCAGGGCCCCGGTGCGGCGGCCGCGCGCGCCCTAGGCTCGGCCCCGCGGCGCGGGGACCCCCCCTCCGCCACCACCACCGCCACCTCCGACTCTCGGCCCGGCCGGCGATCACCCGCCCCCTCCCCGCCCGCCAGAAGCCGGGGAGGCAGCGGCCGCGCCCGGCCCGGGCGTCCTCGAGCGGGCCCGGAGCGCGCGCGGGGCCTCCCCGGAGCCCCCCGCGGGACGCGCGCTCGTGCGGGCGGGGGGCAGGGAGCCGCCCCCGCCGCTCCGCGATGGCCAGCCCGCCGCCGCAGGGGGCTCCCGGGCCGGCGGGCGGCGGCGAGGCCCCGAACCTGAACAACAACAACAACAACAACAACAACCAGGGCGTGCGCAAGTGCGGCTACCTGCGCAAGCAGAAGCACGGCCACAAGCGCTTCTTCGTGCTGCGCGGGCCCGGCGCGGGCGCCGACGAGGCGCCGCAGCCGCCGCGGCTCGAGTACTACGAGAGCGAGAAGAAGTGGCGGAGCAAGGCGGGCGCGCCGAAGCGGGTCATCGCGCTGGACTGCTGCCTGAACATCAACAAGCGCGCCGACGCCAAGCACAAGTACCTGATCGCCGTCTACACCAAGGACGAGTACTTCGCCGTGGCGGCCGAGAACGAGCAGGAGCAGGAGGGCTGGTACCGCGCGCTCACCGACCTGGTCAGCGAGGGCCGCGCGGCCGCCGGCGACGCGCCCCCGGCCGCCGCCGCCGCCGCGTCCTGCAGCGCCTCCCTGCCCGGCGCCCTGGGCGGCTCGGCCGATGACAGCTACGGGCTGCTGGCGCCCGCCGCGGCCGCCTACCGGGAGGTGTGGCAGGTGAACCTGAAGCCCAAGGGCCTGGGCCAGAGCAAGAACCTGACGGGCGTGTACCGCCTGTGCCTCTCGGCGCGCTCCATCGGCTTCGTGAAGCTCAACTGCGAGCAGCCGTCGGTGACGCTGCAGCTCATGAACATACGGCGCTGCGGCCACTCGGACAGCTACTTCTTCATCGAGGTGGGCCGCTCGGCCGTCACGGGCCCCGGCGAGCTGTGGATGCAGGCCGACGACTCGGTGGTGGCGCAGAGCATCCACGAGACCATCCTGGAGGCCATGAAGGCGCTCAAGGAGCTCTTCGAGTTCCGGCCGCGTAGCAAGAGCCAGTCGTCGGGCTCGTCGGCCACGCACCCCATCAGCGTCCCCGGCGCGCGCCGCCACCACCACCTGGTGAACCTGCCGCCGAGCCAGACCGGCCTGGTGCGGCGCTCGCGCACCGACAGCCTGGCCGCCACGCCGCCCGCCGCCAAGTGCAGCTCCTGCCGGGTGCGCACGGCCAGCGAGGGCGACGGCGGCGCGGCGGCCGCGGGGAGCGGCGGCCGGCCCGTGTCGGTGGCCGGCAGCCCGCTGAGCCCCGGGCCCGTGCGCGCGCCCCTGAGCCGCTCGCACACGCTGAGCGGCGGCTGCGGCGGCCGCGCGAGCAAGGTGGCTCCGGCGCCGGCAGGGGGCGTCCTGCAGCACAGCCGCTCCATGTCCATGCCCGTGGCGGCCGGCCACTCGCCGCCCGCCGCCGCCACCAGCCCCGGCAGCCTGTCGTCCAGCAGCGGCCACGGCTCGGGCCCGCCCTCGCACGTGCCGCACCCGCTGGCCGCCCACCACCACCACCACCACCACCACCACCAGCAGCCCCCGGGCCAGCGGCCCTCCAGCGGCAGCGCCTCGGCCTCGGGCTCGCCCAGCGACCCGGGCTTCATGTCCCTGGACGAGTACGGCTCCAGCCCCGGCGACCTCCGCGCCTGCTGTAGCCACAGGAGCAACACGCCCGAGTCCGTCTCGGAGACGCCGCCGGCCAGGGACGGCCCCGGGGGCGGCGAGCTGTGCGGCTACATGAGCATGGACAGGCCCCCGAGCCACTGCGGCCGCGCCTACCGCAGAGTCTCCGGGGACGGCGCCCCGGACCTGGACCGCGGGCTCCGGAAGAGGACCTACTCGCTGACCACGCCCGCGCGCCAGCGCCCGGCGCCGCCGCAGCCCTCGTCCGCCTCGCTGGACGAGTACACGCTGATGCGGGCCACCTTCTCGGGCAGCGCGGGCCGCCTGTGCCCGCCGTGCCCTGCCTGCTCCCCGAGGCCGACCTACCAGCCGTACCCGGAGGACTACGGCGACATCGAGATCGGCTCGCACGGCGGCTCCGGCGGCCTCGCGCGCGCCGACGACGGCTACGTGCCCATGACGCCCGGCGCCGCCCTGCTGGTGGGCGCGGGCGGCCGCGGCGACGACTACATGCCCATGAGCCCCACCAGCGTGTCGGCTCCGAAGCAGATCCTGCAGCCTCGCGGCGCCGCCGCCGTCGCCACGGCCCTGCCGCCCTCGGGGGCGGCTGTGCCCACGCCCCGCGCCGCAGCAAGCCGGGCCTTCGCGGGGCCTGCGGGCGGCGCCTACAAGGCCGGCTCCCCGGCCGGGAGCTCCCCCGAGGACAGCGGGTACATGCGCATGTGGTGCGGCTCCAAGCTCTCCATGGAGAGCGCCGACAGCAAGCTGCTTCCCAACGGGGACTACCTCAACATGTCCCCCGGCGAGGCGGGCGCCGCGGGCACGCCCCCGGACTACTTCTCGGCGGCCTTGCAGGGCGGCGGCGGCACCGGCTACTGCCCCGGCTCCCTGCCCCGCTGCCACAAGGCCGCGCACCCGTGCGGCGGCGACCACTATGTGCTCATGAGCTCCCCGGTGGGGCGAATCCCGGAAGAGGACAGGCTGGAGCCGCAGGCGCCCCCAGGGACCGCGCAGCCGGCCCGCGGCGCCGTCGAGGCCGGACACCCGCAGCCGGCTCCCCAGGCAGTGCCTTCGCCCCTGAGGCCGGGGGGCCGCCCGGAGGGCCCCCTGAGCGGGCGCTGCAGGGCGGTGCGGCCCACGCGCCTGGCCCTGGAGGGGCTGCACGCGCTGCCCGGCCCGCAAGAGGACACGCTGCCGCCCGAGCCCCGGAGCCCCGGCGAGTACATCAACATCGACTTCGGCGAGGCAGGCGCCCGCCTGTCGCCCCCGGCCGCCCCGCTGCTGGCGTCGGCGGCCTCGTCCTGCTCCCTGCTGTCTGCCAGCAGCCCGGCCTCCTCGCTGGGCTCGGGCACCCCGGGCACCGGCAGCGACAGCCACCAGCGCTCCCCGCTCTCTGACTACATGAACCTGGACTTCAGCTCGCCCAGGTCGCCGCGGCCGGGCGCGCAGGGCGCGGACGCCGCGGGCCCCATGGACGGCCTCCTGTCGCCCGAGGCCGCCTCGCTGTGCCCGCCGCTGCCCCCGCGCCCCTCCGCCTCCGCGTGTTGCCCGCAGCCGTCCGCGCCGCCGCCGCCCGCGCCGGGGGACCTGTACCGCCTGCCCCCCGCGCCGGCCGCCACCGCCACCGCGGCCCAGGGCCCCGGCGCTGCCACCCGGGCGCTCTCCAACGCTGGGGACAACGACGACTACACCGAGATGGCCTTCGGCGTGGCCGCCACCCCGCCGCAGCCCATCGCAGCGCCTCCGAAGCCCGACGGGGCCCGAGTGTCCAGCCCCACGTCCGGCTTGAAGAGACTGAGCCTCATGGATCAAGTGTCGGGCGTCGAGGCCTTCCTGCAGGCCGGCCAGCCCGCTGACCCACACCGGGGGGCCAAGGTCATCCGCGCCGACCCGCAGGGCGGCCGTCGCCGCCACAGCTCCGAGACCTTCTCGTCGACCACCACGGTCACCCCCGTGTCCCCGTCCTTCGCTCACAACCCCAAGCGCCACAACTCGGCTTCCGTGGAAAACGTCTCTCTCAGGAAAGCCGGCGAGGGCGGCAGTGGCGGCGGCGGGGGTCCGGGCGCGGGCGAGGAGCCTCCCGCGTCCCCGCGCCGGGCGCAGCCGCCCGCTCCGCAGACGCAGACACAGGCGCGGCCGTGGACACCTGGCCTGCCCGCGGCGGGCCTGGTGGGCTGCCCGGGGGCCAGCGGCTCGCCCATGCGCAGGGAGACGTCTGCCGGCTTCCAGAAAGGCCTCAACTACATCGCCATCGACGTGCGGGACGAGCCGCACCCGCAGGCGGCCGACAAGGGCGCCTGGAGCCGGGCGCGCGGCCTGGGCGGCCTGCTCAGTGCCGTGGGTGGCGGCGGCGGCGGCGCAGGTGGCGGGTGCGGGGGCCCCGGCGCGGGCACGCTGCCCTCAGCCAACGCCTACGCCAGCATCGACTTCCTGTCCCACCGCCTGAAGGAGGCGGCGGCCGTGAAAGGTGAGCGGCCTGGGCCTGGCCTGGGAAGGGGGCGGCCCCCAGCCCCGCTGCGCGCCCTTACCGTGCGTGTCCGCGTGGCCTGCAGGGAGGACACACCCGGCAGGACCCTGGGGCTCAGCGGGGGTGGGAGGCGCAGCAGGGGCAGGGGAGTGGGACAGGAGGGTCAGTGTTGAGCATGGATTTTACCTCCCTAGCTATTTCTTGGGCGCCTTGAGCAGCGTGCGCAGTAAGCCAGCAGGTTAGAGGGCAGGGCGAGGACCAGGAGAGGGAGCTGGCTGCAGAGCCTTTGTTCTGAGTGGTGTCTCAGTCCCGCGGGTGTCTCGGCCTGTGCGTGGCAGAGTTGGTCCGTGGGCGTAGGACCACAGCTGTAGAGTGACCTCGTTGCCATTCTTCCGCCTCCCGGAGGAAAAGCTACTTCCGTTTTGAACATTAGAGGTGTGGAACAAAAGATGGGAGAAGTTGCGTCCTGGCTTCCGGAGCCGGGCGCCTCGGCATCTCGGCGGATGCGTGGTCAGAGCCGCGGCTGGAAGGCGCAGTGCGGGACTGCTTCAAAGCACTGGTCTGTGCTGGCGCGGGCCAGCCGGCCCCCAGGGTGTGGCCCGTGAGGTCAGCACACTCAAGCACTTTTGTTCTGCCCAGATGGGTATATGCTGTAGTAAGTGTGAAAGCAAGCATGGTTTGCGCAGTCCGACTCCGTAACAACTCCACCCAGCCAGCCGGCCTGAGCAGAGCGGACCCTCCCAGCGCTTGGTGGAGTGAGCAGCGACACAGACCTGACCCAAACCGGGGGGCTCCCGGGCAGGGTCTCGGTGGCAGCAGGCGGGGGCTGGGGGCTCAGCTGTGTTCACAGAACCGAGAGAACTCCAGACTTTTCTGATAAGGCAGATCCTCAGACGTGGGGTTTGTGTATGAGATAAGGCCCTTCTCAGACGAGGGAGAATTTTGAACTGCGAGAGATAAGTTTATTTAGAGGCCCGATTTAGCTGATTTGTTGGATTTCCCACAGTGTGAAATTCCTGCCAGCCTATGGGATTAACCTCCCTGGAATCCAAACCGCAGCTCTCTGCTCCCAGCCGGCTGAACAAAGATGAGGGATGGTGTGGTCGCCGTTTCTCCCAAGGCTGTGGGTGCCCGGGTGAATGTCCTCCCAGATCACCAGGCTGTGTCTGCTGTGGCAGACCCACAGCTCAAAAAAAAAAAAAAAAAAAAGAAAGGAAGAAAGGCACACCAGCCCTGGCTCCTGGCAAACTCACCGGCACACCGTGAGCAGAGGTGCCACGAGGCTGAGTGTGCCGTCTTAGCCGGCTCGCAGGGACACTGTGCTCTGTCCCCTCAGGGAGGGGACGTTTGGAAACTCAGAACCAGTGCTCACCTTCGGCTCACCCACACAGCCAGAAACGCGTGTAAGGCTCGGAGGCTGCACGCGTCCTCTGGGGGCGGCGTTTGTAGTGAGGCTGGCGCTGCGTTCCTTTGAAGATGGGGTGGAAAGTGCACTCCCCCACACGGAGCGCTGGCCCTGTAGTGGCGTGGGGGCAGGATAATTTGGGGTTACGAGGGCGGTGTTTGGGAGCTGGATCAGTGGCACTGGAGACACAGCAGTCGGTGCCGCATGGTCGTCCATGGTAGAATCAGGAGGGGGATTCGACGCAGACGCCAATTGAAAAGTTCAGGGCGGGGTCCCCGTGTGTGTGTGGGGGGGGGGGTGGGGGGCAGGTGCAGCAGTACCTCCCTGCCGCTGAAGGTTTGTTGTCTGGAAAGCTGTCACCGAAGCCACTGTGCTTTAAAGCTGCCTTTTTAAACATTCATTTTATGTGGCTTTTTTTCTGCTAGGATCGCAGACCAGTGTACACCGTAAAATATGCAATTGTAGTTTTCCACCACGGTGAGACTTCGTTCCACCGTAGTCTCTGTGTGCGTGAAACGGCATAGATAAGAATCGTCTGGATTTCAGTTTTGTTTGACAGTCGGACTGTCAGTTTCCAGAAACAATGACATCACGATTCCTGTTTAGAAGTATTGGCTTTTGAAGTCTAAGAGAGTTTGTGTGTTTCTAGCAGGTCCTGGGACAAGCTGCCTTGGCTGGCTGGCTCCTGCCTGCGCTGTACGCACAGACAACCAAGGTGCTAATGAAAACACACACAGGCTTTCATGAATGAAAGTCACATGACCCGTTCCATTTCCTTTATTGAAAGAGAAACCTTTACAAAAATAGTGCGTGGTAGAAGGAAGCGTTGGGCCAGGATCAGGAAGCAAGGTTTCTGGTTGCTGATCCTCGTGAGTCATTGTGGGCCTGGGCGAGCCGCCTGGTGCCTCCCTCTCACTTTCTCTTCCTGTGAAATGGGAGTAATTACGAGCCTCCCCTCGCCGTGTCACGCGGAGCTCATGAGCGTCAAGAGTGTTGCAAGCGCTCCTGCAGGGAGGTGCTGGGAAGTCAGTGACACTGAAACCCTGACTGCGGTCAGGAAAGGGACGTGGGTGTACAGGGTGCTTGCAGGTTCACCCAGCGCCGGAACAGAGCTCAGAGCATCTGGGAGTGGAGTGGATGCCTTGCCCGCCCCATCGTCGGAGCTCCCGGCGCGGTCTCCCACGGCGGCTGCCTTGCTCCCCTCTGCATTGAAGATCTGTGCCTGAGCCATGGCCCGTTGCAAGGGGGTGGCCCTTTAAGTCGTGCAGGAAAACACTGTCCTGATCCCAAACTGCATGATTGAGTACCCTTGATGATTTAAGTGCTAAGAGCCGTTGACCAGATGAGGCTATCCAAGGGCGCTTCAAAAAGTTGGTGAAAGATAGAATTTATTTTGGTGCAAAAACTTGAAATCCGTGGTAGTTTCTTCCTATGCCGCGTTTTCCCGCCAGCTTTCTGAAGCCCTGTTGTGGACGTAGAATGCACATTGTTAAAAACCGGCTGCTACTGGAGGCTGAATTAGAAGAAATACGGAAGCCGTACGTGTTCCCTTGTTTATTTGTCCGCTCTCTGATCTGAGGTCTCCTTGTTCGAGCTGGCTGGATGAGGCTGTCACTCGGTTTTGATGGGTAACGCTGCGTTCTCCTTGGTTGTCAGATCAGGGTGGGGACACATTTGATTCCTTGGTTCTCCCACACCCCCCAAAAAGGGAATTTTAATTTTATTTTCTTTGGAACTGTTGGTATTAAAATGAGGCTCCCTTTCTGGAGAGCAGAGCTCACCGAGGTTTTAGTAGCAGCCCGGGCATAATGGGTTTTCTGTTAAAATTCCCACTAATGTGCTTTTCCGCAGAAGCACAGTTCCAAGAGCTGGTTAACTTTTGATATCAGATCTGGCAACTGCACAGGTTTTTTTGTTTTGTTTTCTTGGCGGGAGGGGCGGGGAGAGGGGTGAGGGCAGCGCAGAATCAAGTGTTCCCATTTCACCTTGCAATCAAAGGGACAATGCAACCTTGCTCATTTATCTGTGTTGCCCAGTGGAGTGGGAAAAACACTGAGGGTGCAGAAGACACGGTGCCCTCCCCACACACCCCTGGGGCAGCTCTCACCCAGGTGGGCAGAGGTGGATTCCCTGAGAACTTCTCTCTGCACACAGAATGTATGTTTTCACGCCAGGAGAGCAGGGCGTTGTAGGGGACCAGCCACGCACAGCGAGGGTTCCTGGGTCCTGGAGTCACCTGCCGGGTTTTGTGAACCGCAGCTGTCCCAGGGACACTCTCTCTGTGTTGCGTTCCTTGGGCTGGAGTGTGTTCCCGTCCTCTCAGGTAGAGGGCGGAGGCCAGAGCGCAGGGCGTGTGTCCTTCTCAGAATGGGTGAAGTCAGAGGTGATGAGCTGAGCACTTGATTTCCTTCATGACAGCGACAGAGACTTAGATGCACTGAGCCCTAACATGATGTGCACAGCAGGAGACTTATTCTTCACCGGGACCTTGTTCTCTGGGTGTCGGCGATGCACCAGCCTAGTGTGCTTGGAAGTCTTAGTTCTTAGTTCAGTTCATTATATTAGAATACGGAAGGAGATTTGGGTGAAGACCTACTAGCTATGTGCTTGCACACGATGGAAACATCAGTCTAGCTGTGCTGATGTCTGTTAGACTAGAGAGCTGCTGAATTTGCCTAAGGTGACTTTTTCTTGACCAGAGACAGTGTAACATGGGAGCTGGTAAGTGGCTTTATATATTTACACCTGCAAAGAAGATTTATCAAGTGTGTCTTGCTTATTGTACCTTTGCTGAAATTTGAAATATTTGCCCCAATATATTTTTTAAAGACTTATTCATTTATTTTAAAGTCAGAGTTACACACAGAGAGAAGGAGAGGCAGAGAGAGAGAGAGAGAGGTCTTCCATTCAATGGTTCACTCCCCAACTGGCCTCAACAGCTGGAGATGTGCCGATCTCAAGCCAGGAGCCAGGAGCCTCTTCCGGGTCTCCCACGTGGGTGCAGGGGCCCAAGTCCTTGGGCCATCTTCTACTGCTTTCCCAGCCCATAGCAGAGAGCTGGATCGGAAGTGGAGCATCTGGGACTTGAACTGGTGCCCATATGGGGTGGCGGCTTTACCTGCTATGCCACAGCGCTGGCCCCGACCCAATATTGTGATCCACAGTATACGTTAAAGATAAATGATCACATGCATTTTAATCACTGGGTCTTTTAATTCTTATTTTAAAGGGTATCTGGTTTTCCAAAAATAAATATTTGGGGCTGGAGTGTGTGTGTGTGTGTAGTTCCATAGTATGTTACCCATCATTCTCCGAGAGGTTGAGTGTGGATTTTTTTAAAATTGAAACTCAGATACTAATGATTCAGTCTCTAATCATGTTAAAACTCTGTCACTTTAAGCATAATGACAGACTTCCTGTTACTTGAATCTCTCCATGTGGAGTCAGTCCTGGTACTTGAGTGAAGTATTATGGTATAGTATTAGATTTCCATTTTTTAATGCATAAAAATAAGTATGATATCATTCACTGTATTATGTGATTTTTAATGGTTATCTTAAAAGCCGCGTTTATGTTCAGCATGACTCATGCTTTTCATGGTACTAATGCTTCACCCTTAATCCTCATGACTTCCTCTGTGGCCATACTCAGCTCACCCTTTGCCTCTGAAGCCTAAGTGTAACTCACAGCCCCAAAACTTGAGGCCAGTGAACACGCTGAAACTGTGGAAGGCGGACGTAGCGAAATGCAGCTGTGGTCAGTACTGAGAGGCCATTGCATGGGTCAGAGGACTCGTGTTGTGCGGATTACCTCGGAAATGTCAGGGCATGGGGACGTTCTCATATGAACAACATCGTGGGGTGCTGCGGAGCATCTCGGGGTAACCCGGAGCATCTCGGGGTGACGCAGAGCCAGCTCTAGCTCCCATTTTCCAGAGCGAAAACCTGTGGCTTGGAAAAGCCGAGTGGCTTACCCAAATCCCCAAGCCAGGGGGAGCAGGGCTGGGGTCCGCCTCGGACCTCTGCTGGCCCTGCTCTGGGCCCCTCGCTCCCTCTCGCCTCACCTGCCTGTGGGCGGGGCAGCTGGGGCACGGGGGTTTGCCCGGGGTTTGCCTGCAGACCTGCCTCGGGCAGCTGCCAGCCCCCAGTTTGGTTTTCAGTTCCCTCCAGTGAGACTTAATTGTTTCATTTCCCTCTTTTGTTCCACTGCATATTATGAGTGCCCCAGCACATTGAGAGAGTTAATGAGGAAGACGGGACGTTGTAGGAAAAGCCCTCGTAATTTTTCCTGTTTTGTTTTTTTTAAGCCGTTTTTGCATCTACCAGTTTGAAGAGCTTAAGTTCTGTTGTTCTTTGAGGGCTCTGGTTTCGGGGTGTTGCTGGTGCCTTCGCTGATCCCACAGTAGGAGCTCATGTGTGTGTGTGTGTGGGGGGTGCCGGGAGGTCCAGCCCAGCTTCCCGGGCCTGGGCTGCTCTACAAGGTGGAAAACTTGGCCTCCTTCCTCCAGCCGCTCCCACGTGTGTCTGAGACAAGCACCGTGGACGCCACCAGAATCCTTCCCAGCACCAAGTGCATCAGAGAGCGGTGACCGTCCGAAAGCCAACGCCACGGCAAGGGCATCTTGAGGGTAATGCGTTGGCCACCAGTGATAGAAGGTTGCGTATTTATTTTGAGGTTGTGCAAACAGTGGCCTCGGGAGGCCGGGTGTCGTGTTCAAGGTCGTTGATGTAATTAGTGGGCGAGCCGTGTGTGAGTACTATCAGGAATGCAATGCAAAGGATGGCAGATTGCATTGGGTTGGTTGTGAGCAGCCTCCTCCCGGGGCCTGTGCCCTCCAGAGCAGCCGCGTGCCCCTGGAAGCCGTGGCAGGATTTTCTCTTTGAAACACTCCAGTGGACTGCTTCCTGCACAGACTAAAAGGTGCGCTGGGGCCGGAAGTGGAGAGCGCAGGAGCAGGATCCAGGAAGCTGTAGCCCGGGGGATGGGCTGATCAGCACCGCCTGGGCAGTGCTGGCTGCAGTTGACAAATAGTCGAGTTTGTGATGGTGTTGGAAAAGAAGAGAAAAGGGACAATTCTCGGGAGAGTTCCGTTCTGAAGGCTGCGACATCCGACTGGTCCGGGTGCTCGCTGCTGTGTGCTGGTTCACATGGTAGCTAATGGATCAGGCTGTGATGCCTGTACACTGTCAGTGATTTTCAGATACGTTTATCCTGCAAGTGAAATGTCATACACTCCTCACTCTGAGTGAGTCCGCTAACAATTTCCCAAGATAGGAGCCATTAACCTGTTTAATGATGAGTTTGTTTACAAACCAACCCGTGCCATTGTCACTGTCGCGCACCCGCTGCTGGCTGGAGCCTGCCTCGTGGCACAAACAAAACTGGGAAATGCCCCGAGTGTTTCAGGGACAGATGACAGTGGTGGTGTTTCCGCTGAGGTCGAGAAGAGTCAAGGTCAGGATACCCTGCCCTGCGGTAACGCACATGTGGCTGATGCGCGAGGCCGGATAGGGACTGGAGGCACAAAGCAACTTGTGCCTGAGCCCCCGGGTCTGCGGCAGATGCCAGGGTCTGACTCAGGGGGCCCCTGCCCTGCCCAGCCCAGCCCTCAGCAGGTGCGTCAGGCTTCGCTCGGGACTCCAGGTGCCTGGAAGGGTGGCTCGGGGGAGCGTAGGGGATACAAAGTGCAGAGAGAAGGGTTGGAAGGAGACGAAGGTGCCCTTACTAAATTTAGAAGTGACGCAAGTGCAGATGGTGCTTTAGGGACTCTGGGTGCTGCCCGGGGTTAAGTGAGGCGCGGGTGAGCTGGCGGCCGCTTTTTGTTGGAAGAGACCAGGGGTGGAAGTGCCAGGGCTGTGCTGCGCTGCGGGTGCACCGGAGCTCTGGAAGGAGGTCCTGGTGTCCGGTTCTGGGACCACACCTCGGGTAGCGCCTCTAGAATAACCCGCTGCCGTGAGCCGCTTCTCTGGTGTGCTGCAGGCAGGGTGGACTTCATTTGTTTTACCCTTGTCTTCCGCCGGGAAAGTGACTAAAGTAGCATTTGCCACAGGAAACAGATCTGCAGGGTGCCCGTGCGCTCTGCCGGCTACACTTGCAGTTGCATTTGGGAAGGCTGCTGGGAGGAACTTCTGTTACACTGACTCCTGCGTGTCCAGCCAGTGCATATAATTCAGTTGAAAGCAAGCTTCAAGGATGCTTTAGCAACACGCAGTAGTCGCGGCATTGCAAGATCTTTTTTTTTCCTCCTTTGGAGCCGTATAAATCCAGGAGTGTAAATTCATTGCAGTCAGTTTCAAAACACTAACTTTAACTGGATAAGCAAAAAAAAAAAAAAAGACAATTTTCATAATACGAAAGCCACATGAAATTGTAAACGTACGTGTGAAGGAGTTTGCAAACATCCTGGAGATTTTGTCCTGATGAGGCTTCGGAAGGGGGATTTTCTTGTGAGGGGTGTGCGGCTCCTGGCTGCAGGGGCTGGTGGAGACGGGGCTTCCTCCACACAGCCGGCTGCTCGCCGTGCAGGCTGAGGCAGCCGGAGCTCCCAGGGGAACAGCTCTGCAGCGAAACAGCCACATCTTCCCGGCACAGGCACCCAGAGAAGCCCCCGGGTCCGCGTGGGTGGCGCAGCCGGGTCTCAGCGCACCATGGCCAGGCGGCTGCTTTTCTTGCCAGCGCGGGGAGGGGTCTGGGAGACACAGGGAAGCGTGGAACAGTCTGCCCCATCTTTACAGCCCATGTGCACGGACCCCCACCCCCCAGCAGGTGCCCACCCTTCCTTCGGGACTCGTGGCCGGACACACAGAACGGGTGTCCCAGCCCCTCCCCCACCCACAGCGCAGGAAGTGTTTGGGTCCTGCTGGAGTCAGCTTGCTCTGAGCTCTTGCTGCCCGGTCCTGCTGACAGCCCTGCCTTTGTTATCGATCGAGTCTTCCAGAACCTTCCAGCTTGGAAGCTGGCTCGGTTAGCTCTCCTTCCCCTGCTCCCTCCGCGTGTTCCAGCCCCTGAATTTCTGGGACGGCAGTTCCTTCTCTGGACGCACGGCTTCCTGGCGCACTCACGGGGTCGCCCTGCAGAAGAGCTGATGGTTAACGCGTGTTTGGTTTTGCTGCCTCTGCAGAACTGTGCCTTGTCATGAAAGCCTTACTGCTTGGAGTGTAGCTCCGTGTTCCCGTAAGGGATCCACAAAATTTCCCATAATCATAGTTCTTTTCAAAAATCGGATGCTTCCGAATTGCTTAACGGTGACTCATTGCACGAGTAATTTCCAGACAGGGCAGTGCGTGCTGGCCTCGACGCCACAGCTGTGTGATGTTGGGGCTGTGGCCTGACCCGTCCCTCTCCCCGGGTGCAACCACCTGTCCAGGGGCCCCTCTTGCCCTCCTGCATGACGCCCACTGACGCCCCTCCCCCACCCCATCCCCAGCACGGTGACCCCAGCGCGGCTCCTGCAGCCGGGGCCTGTGGCCGGAGCAGAGGCTGGGCTGGGAGCCGCTGGCACCTTACTGTTCTTCTCAGACGAAGAAGAAAGTGACGAATGACATGCATGGCACTCACGGCCTGGGCAGGGGGAAGGCGGGGAGCAGGAGGAGGTGGGCAGGACAGAGCCGCGCTGGCTCAGAGTTCAAGGTTAGCCAAGCTGGTCGACGTTCACGTTTTGCTCCTTTAAAGGTAATTGAAGCACTTTCAAGATATTTCAAATACTTTGATATGTTTGGGAAATTTTAGCATGCAGGCCAGAGAGAAACTGGTTTAGTTACCAAGAGAAAAAGAAGGACATGCAGGAGTGAAGCTTCAGTAAGTCGCTGACCTTTGAAACCTGGGGGGAGAGGCTCAGTGTTGAAGCATTGTCAGTGGAGGTGAACGCTCTGCAACGGGAAGCAGGAGGTGAACAGGGAAGACGCCTGCGACTCAGTGAGGAGCCTGAAGTTGTGAGGAAGCAAGATAAGATATTCAGGGAGAGGTGGGCGTGCAGGGGTCCTGGGGTGGACAGGGAGAGGTGGGTGTGCAGAGGAGAGGTCCTGGGGTGGACAGGGAGAGGTGGACGTCCAGAGGTCCTGGGTGGACAGGGAGAGGTGGATGTCCAGAGGTCCTGGGTCGACAGGGAGAGATGGACGTGCAGAGGTCCTGGGGTGGACAGGGAGAGGTGGGCGTGCAGGGGTCCTGGGGTGGACAGGGAGAGGTGGGCGTGCAGGGGTCCTGGGGTGGACAGGAAGAGGTGGGCGTGCAGGGGTCCTGGGGTGGACAGGGAGAGATGGACGTGCAGAGGTCCTGGGGTGGACAGGGAGAGGTGGGCGTGCAGAGGAGAGGTCCTGGGGTGGACAGGGAGAGGTGGGCGTGCAGAGGAGAGGTCCTGGGGTGGACAGGGAGAGGTGGGCCTGCAGGGGTCCTGGGGTGGACAGGGAGAGGTGGGCGTGCAGAGGAGAGGTCCTGGGGTGGACAGGGAGAGGTTGCACTGCGCCGTCCTGGGACTAATTTCAGATGTGGCCGTGCAGAGCAGAGGGCCTGAGGGGGCAGGGAGAGATGGGCGTGCCGCGTTCCTGGGGTGGACAGGGAGAGATGGACGTGCAGAGGTCCTGGGGTGGACAGGGAGAGGTGGGCGTGCAGGGGTCCTGGGGTGGACAGGGAGAGGTGGGCGTGCAGAGGAGAGGTCCTGGGGTGGACAGGGGAGGGATGGACCTGCAGAGACCCTGTGATATAGTGCCTGTGTCTCTCAGAGCCTGGTTTCACAGGAACCTGCTGTTGGAGGGACTGGGGTGCAGGCGGGAAGCCCGGAGGGCTGCTGCCCCCGTGGTGTGGAAACCGCTGGCACCTGGTCCAGAGTTTGGGTTTGGTTTCCTTAATTTTCCTGAAACATAAAAAGAATGATGGTTGCACACAGTGCCTTAAGCCTAACTGTTTTGTAAAGAGTTTATTTTTATTAGAGAGAGAGAGAGCTTCCAACCTCTGAGTCACTCCCTAAGTGCCTACAACAGCTGGAGCTGGGCTAGGCGGAAGCCGGGAGTCGGGAACCCAATCCAGGTCTCCCGTGTAGGTGGCAGGGACCCACGTACTTGAGCCATTGCTGCTGCTTCCCAAGGCGCACGTTAGCAGGGAGCTGGGGCTGGAACCCAGGTGCTCCCATATGGGATGCTGGTGTCCCAGCTGGCACCTGGCCCGTGGTGCCCAAGGCCCACCCCAGCCCGTCCGTTTTGATAGCATTACAGTGAGGGTGTCACCCTCCAGTCGCTCGCTTTAACCCTGTTGGTCGTCATTCGTCCCACGTGGGAACGCGCAGTGGCCTGCTGCTCTGCGGAACATCGGAGAAGCTACAGCTTGTGGTGCACAGAGCCCCGTTCCGGTGTCGCAGAGTTGGACAAAGCTATACCTCGGCCGGAGTGACATCCCGGGGTGGCGTATCGCTGAGGGACGCTGTCCGGGAGGCCATTTGCCGAGACCGTGACAGGAGCGTGCGGTCAGTGCTCAGTGTCCGCTCAGGCCTGGCTTCGGTCATTTGGGTCCCTTGGGAGGCGGCTTGGAAGGGCACGTGGGCGACAGTGACAAGCCTGGGAAGGAAAGCGTGGCGTCCGGGGTGTGGGCAGCGGTCTTGTCACTCAGCACTCACCCCCTCCTTTGCTGCCTTGCACAGTTTGGGAATTAAGTGTGTATTTTGGCTGGCGCGTGGCTCAACAGGCTAATCCTCCTCCTTGCAGTGCAGGCACACCGGGTTCTAGTCCCGGTCGGGGCGCCGGATTCTGTCCCGGTTGCCCCTCTTCCAGGCCAGCTCTCTGCTGTGGCCAGGGAGTGCAGTGGAGGATGGCCCAGGTGCTTGGGCCCTGCACCCCATGGGAGACCAGGAGAAGCACCTGGCTCCTGCCTTCGGATCAGCGCGGTGCACCAGCTGCGGCAGCCATTGGAGGGTGAACCAACGGCAAAAGGAAGACCTTTCTCTCTGTCTCTCTCTCTCACTGTCCACTCTGCCTGTCAAAAAAAAAAAAAAAAGTGTGTATTTTGCTGGGTGTCCCCGTGGCTGGCCGCTGGCTGGCGGGGATACTTGCGGTCACATCTCACAGGTCTCCCCAGGCTGGCCTCTGTGCCCGAGAGGCAGGAGGCTGGTGGTCCTCACTCGGGGTCCTCGGGGTCTTGCAGCTGGTGGCCCCGGCCACATGGGTAGCGGAGCCCCCAGACGCTCCAGGAGGGCCCGGGCCACAGCCGTGCAGCCGAGGCTCCCGGGGAAGAACTTCTACAAACACCCGGTGGGGGTTGCTGCCCCGGGGAATGCTGGGCTCTGGGTCCCCAGCGTGGAGAGGGCTGCGGGCGGGCTCCTTGCCGTTTTGGGACTGGAGACTCTTGGGGCAGCTCAGGCTGCTTGGACAGAGGCAGGGAGTCAGGCTCCCTGTGGCTGCCCTGGCTCTGGGCTTAGCGAGCACCTGCTGTAACCTGACCCGGCCTGGGCGTGGCCGGCCCTGTGATGCTGGCCACCCCTGTGGGATTCAGGCCCCACTTCTCCAAGGAAGGCCGGCCTGGCTATCGCTGCTGCCTTCTGTTTCCCTCCCCAGTGGATGGCCTTTGTCCTAGCTGGTACCTCTGCACTTCCATTTTTCATTACTGAAACTTCAGTACAGAGTGCCTGTCTGGGTGGAGCTCCCTCTGGGCTGTGGCGGAAGCACTTCACCTTGTCCCATACATGGAGGAGAGGCAAGGGCATCCCCCCTCCCCAGCCCTTGCTAGCAGGAGCCCGGGCTGCTGGCTGCCTGGGGGAGGGGCCGCGGCTCAGGTCCCTGGCAGCCGCCCCCGTCTCCCCCTGAGCACACGTGGGCCCCTTTCCGGGTGTTTTGTCTCATGCCCAGGGCATGAAGGGAGCCGGCGGCTGCAGTGCTAGTTAGCGTCACCCCCCAGCGGGACAATCCCACTTCTGTTCCCCGCTCTCCCGTTGAGACAAGCGGCTTCCTTTCATGCCGGGACCCATCTGCCCTGGTCGCTGTGCCTTCCTCCAGGTTGGTGAGTGGCCAGGAGTCGTCCTCAAGGGTGTAGCTGGGTGGGGGTGGGGGGTGGGGCGAACCCGGGGCTGATGGCAGATGTGCTGGCCACGCTGGGGGGGGCGGGGTCTCAGGAGTCTGTGGTCCCACACGTGTGCTTACACGTGTGTCCTGTTTGACAACACAGAAGGCAGCAGGACCCTAGCCAGAGGTTGCAAGTCAGGCCAGGAGTGTGCACTGTTCGACACATTTCACACGCTGCAGTGGGACCCCATGGCGGGGAGCCGAGCAGTGACGGGGCTGGCTGCTGGGACCCAACTCCGTGCCATCTACACCTGCGTCTAGCCCAGCCATGGGAGTGGCATGGGGTTCAGAGGGGCAGAGGGGGCCAGCCTGAGGCATCCTGCTAGCTGCCGGGCACCGCAGTGCTTGCCTGGAGCTGTGTGGGGGCAAGGGAGTCTGCCCTTGTAGTCAGCGGGGTTTGCCCCTCATCTGTCCACCTGGCTGGTTGCCCATCCACACGTGGGCTTTGAAATGACAGGGCTGAAGTGCCACGTATGTGGATGCTTCAGACTGCAAGGGGACTAAGCCTGTTACCTGAGCATTTGAAGGAAGGGCTATGTCCAGGTGATGGCCAGCACCAGGCTGCCTAGAGGTGTGCGTGTGAGTAGCTTGGGCATTCCCCTGTCCCTTTATTTCATGGGAAAAACGTAGTGATTGGTTCTAATAATAGTTATATGATGTCAGACATAAACTCTTTTGGGGGGGCTGCTGTTGTGGCACCAACAGCCTATTGGTCTGAGTCCCTGCCGACCCGCTTTCCTTCCAGCTCCCTGCTAATGCGCCTGGGAAGGCAGCAGAGGACCCTGCACCCACATGGGAGACTGGAGGGAGTTCTGGGCTCCTGGCTTCTTTGGCCTGGCCCAGCCCCAACCCTTGTGTCCACCTGGACCGTGTCAAATAAATAAAGAAACCTTTTAAAGAATATTTTTAGCCTACGTAAAATAAGTGTTCTCACGTGAGCCTAAAACGTACAGAAACGCGCAGAAGCTGAGTGCAGAGTTAACGTTGTTTCCAGGCTGCCCGCGGCTTCCGTGTGAGTTGCGTCCCAGCCCCAAGGTTCTCCCTTGACCTTCATACTCTCAAATGGCCCGAGCACAGGAAGAGACTCGGAGCCCTTCACTGGCTGCTGGTCCCCTGGGTGAGGCTCCTGCTGATCTTGTGCAGGGAGTGTTCAGTCACACTCGGACTGACTTGGGGTCGTTCTGCACTGCACATGGAAAACCAAGAAGGTGAGCGCCGGGCGAGGGAGATGCTGGCTGCACAGTCGATGTTATGACCTGCTGCTGCAGGGTCTGGCTGGGCGGCACTTCATTTCTAAAGGGTGAGGACTTGAAGATTTTGTCCCCAGGGGTGTCAGTTCATCCCCAGGGGGAGCACGCACGCAGAAACCTCACGTTTATTTTGGTTAAAAAAAATGTAAATCTTCACAAAGTTCATGGATGATGCATGTTGTAAGAAAATGCTGCAGAAACGTTTGCACCCAAACAAACTTGGCTTTTAGTTGCGTTTTCCCAGAGTTTCTGAAGCCCCCTCGGGGGGCTCATTTTAGGGCCGTTGCGGTGTCTCTCCGCAGCCCAAGCCTGCGTTCCAGCGATGGGCGGCTGCCACTCCCGTGCCCTACAATGTCCTCGTGGGAGATGAAACCGGCGTCTCCTCCTCTGGGTCTCAGACAGCTCTAAGGATTTGTCCTTTAGACAATTTTATTTTGCTTTTCCACATGTGAGAAATAGTGGACGCCGTGTGCCGGTTCATTTTGGTTTATCTCAGCAAGCTTGACTGGAGCACCACCAAGTCCCCCAGTGCTGGGGACATCAGAACACAGAGCAGAGCCTTCCTCCAGCAAGCAGTACATCTCCCCACACACGCACTGTCTAGCAGTGTGTATTCAACACTAGCACTGTCTAATCTCCTTAGAGGCTGTTTTTAAAGAACTAATGAAAGAGCTGTTACTTAGCTGTGAACTCTCCATGTCAGATATGCAGAGAATAAACCAGCAGTGACCGTGACTTGGGGGGATGGGGGAGAAGTGGGGAGATGCAGATCAGAGGATACAAAGTAGCAGGTGTGAGTTCAGCAGGTACCAGGATCTCAGGACAGCATAGCCTGTAACTTTATATCCTGCTGGGCATTTTGGCTTGGTAAATGGATTTTAGCCTCTCCTCTGTCACCCACAATGTTACCATATGAGATGATAGATGCATTAATTGGCTTCACTATGGTAGCCACTCTCAAAAACCTTGAGGAAAACAGAATTAAAAGATAATGTGCACACCTCGGGGTTCTTAACGGACATAGGCAGGTCTGCACGTGGCTGTCCATCTGCTGAGGCTGTGCCGGTGCCAGTTAGCACAGGCTCCCGGGTAGGAACCTGAGTGTGCAGAGGAATTGCAAGTGTGGTGGCTAGTGGTGTGGGAGACCCCAGCGCGCCCAGCCACTGGGGGACAGAGATGTTGAGACGGGACTCGTGGGGGACTACGCAGATGCTAAACAGAGCCAGGCACCTGCCACTTGCCTCACCCTTCCCCAGAGACGAGGCTGGCCCGTCCCGTGTCGCATGTGTCCTTGGCTTGGTCGTGCAGTCAGCAAGAAGCGGTTCTAACTGTCAGAGGGAATGAGATGCTCTGGTGTCTTGCAGATGTGGCTGGGAGGCTACTTACTGCCCAAACTCACTTCCTCTCTATTTTCCTCCTAAGTGGTCTTTTTTCCAATAGAAAAGAAAGTTCAAGTACTGTTTTTTCTTAGAATTTCAGGCTTGTTATCACACCCCACCTTATTGGGCTTTTTTTTTTTTAATATTAGAGTGTTTGCTTTTAATAATTCAAGGAGATACTGAATTATCAGGTTTATTTTTCTAAGAATTTCTCCTGCAACTGAAAAGTTTATTTTCCCTTCTCTCTCTTGTGTTTAACCCCAATGGTCTACACTGGGCTCTTTGCCACTACAAGTAGAAAACTCAATTTTCAGAGGCAAATGGTTTTCATCTTGTTATGCAGATCAATATTTGTAACCACCCTAATTCAGGGACCTCTGCCTTCTTGGGAGTTTTGCCCCCTGGTTGGTGGAGTGTTGCCCACCTCTGGGGCACTGTGCAGGGAGCCCACGTGGGGATCTCTGTGGGGCCCAGTCCTTGATGTAGTGGGAACCTGGGCTGTAGACAGAACTCTGAAGTGGATTCTGGACATGAAAAGGCATTGCAGCCCAGCCAGCCAGTGAGGAGGAGCAGCAGGGAGTGAGGGGGCCCGGGCTGTCTTGCCAGAGCAGATCTGCCTCGATGATGCCTGTGGTTTTCTGTGGTGCTCACACAGGCTGTGAGGGGCCAGCACCGTGGGGGGGGTAGGGAACCCTGAATTATGTCATGGGGACCCAGAGCTCGCCCCCCAACCAGCTAGACTTACTCCAGGTTCTTGTTTTCCCCTGTGTAAGAACGTCTATAGATGGTGGTGCTCTGAAGACAGAGGGATAATGCAGGCTCAGTCATGTGAGCACCCTCGGGATGCAGGCTCAGTCGTGAGCGTTTGCACCCTTGGGATGCAGGCTCAGTCGTGAGCATGAACACCCTTGGGATGCAGGCTCAGTCGTGTGAGCACCCTCGGGATGCAGGCTCAGTTGTGAGCGTTTGCACCCTCGGGATGCAGGCTCAGTCGTGAGCATGAACACCCTCGGGATGCAGGCTCAGTTGTGAGCGTTTGCACCCTCGGGATGCAGGCTCAGTCGTGAGCATGAACACCCTTGGGATGCAGGCTCAGTCGTGAGCGTGAACACCCTCGGGATGCAGGCTCAGTCGTGTGAGCACCCTTGGGATGCAGGCTCAGTCGTGAGCATGAACACCCTCGGGATGCAGGCTCAGTCGTGAGCATGAACACCCTTGGGATGCAGGCTCAGTTGTGAGCGTTTGCACCCTCGGGATGCAGGCTCAGTCGTGAGCATGAACACCCTCGGGATGCAGGCTCAGTCGTGTGAGCACCCTCGGGATGCAGGCTCAGTCGTGAACATGAACACCCTTGGGATGCAGGCTCAGTCGTGAGTGTGAGCACCCTCAGGATGCAGGCTCAGTCGTGTGAGCACCCTCAGGATGCAGGCTCAGTCATGAGCGTGAACACCCTCGGGATGCAGGCTCAGTCATGTGAGCACCCTCGGGATGCAGGCTCAGTCGTGAGCGTGAACACCCTCGGGATGCAGGCTCAGTCATGTGAGCACCCTCGGGATGCAGGCTCAGTCGTGTGTGCACCTCAGGATGCAGGCTCAGTCGTGAGTGTGAGCACCCTCGGGATGCAGGTTCAGTCATGTGAGCAACGTCAGGAGAAGGGGGCTGCTTGGGAAGGCACCGAGTGCAGGACCATGGAGGCAGGGTTTGGGGTGGAGCCGTGTGACGGGCAGTGCGGGTGCCTGGCTGAGGGTGATGGGATCTGTGCGGTGCACTGGGCTCCTCCTGCCTCGCCAGCTCCCTGCCCAGCCGCTGTTGTCGGACACCTGGCCCACGTATTGCAAGGAGGTTCCCCGTCTGTTTTAATGACAGCGTCCCCATGACTTGATGTCTTCTGGGGTGGGCAAGGGACGTAGAGCAGACTGAAGGTGGCACCTCCAAGGCCGCCCTGTGTCCCTGCTGGTCGGCATCCTCATTTGCTCCTTTCAGTGGGAGAGAAGGGGGTGGAAGTGTTGCACGGGGACTACTGGCCATGTGGAGCGTCCTGTGTCCAGGGGCCAGCAGAAGGAAGATGAGGAGTGGCCAGACTGCCTGGACTGCCTGGCCTTTGTGTGGATCACCGTCGTCCCTGCTGAAGCTGGTTTTCGTTGGTTGGTTTCTACTCACGTAACTGCACACGGGTGCTTCTGTGGGTGGGTTTGTGGAAGCAGCACACCGAGCAGGACAGGGGGCGTGGCTACACAGGTGTCGCTCCTGGCGTGCAGTCCCTCTGGGTGTGTGTTGCCCTGGACTCGTGTGTGTGCAGGCTGCAGGCTCCCGGAGTGTCTTTGTGCTTTGGCTGTTGATGAGTTGAAAGACTGGCTCCCTGCTTAACGGGCAGGGCAGAGAGGCCCTGAAATTCCTGGTTTGTTTCTAGCAGGATCAATAGGGATAAGAGAATAAATACATTGTTGCCGTAGTCTCTCTCTAGGCAGCCTAAACACCTGTGTGTTGAGGGTACCAGGTGCATCCTGTTGGGGGCTGTGTGCTTTTCTCCTGGTCCTCTTGAGCCAGATGGATTTTCAGGGCGAGCGATGAAGGAGACTGAGCGTAGAGGCAGAAATGCACTCAGTCCCCGAGTTCCAGTCGACTGGAGCGTTTTCAGCTCCTCCTCCTCCCTGGGGTGGGGGGTGGGGGCCAGAGCAGGTGTTGGCCATTGCCAGGTGTGTGGTTGGCCTGGGTGGTGGCTGTCGTCCAGGTCAGACGCCACGAGTCAGACACCCAGCCTGCCCAAGGGTCCCACTGCGTGGTCCTCGTGACTCCCCCATCTTGCTGACGCCGGCTCGCTGGTGTGCAGCAGGCCGTGTGGCAAAGGCGGGTTTCGGCTGCCGACTCGGTTCAGTGTCTGAAACGGTTGCCTTTGCTTCTGCGTCCTCCGTTCAGACAAATCTCTTGGTAAAAGTTGGGTTTCACACTGCAGGATTCTGAAACCCATCGGCGGCCCCGTTAACAGATCAGCGGAAATGGAAAGTCACTTTTTTTAAAGCAGTAATTAGCCCTCCATTTTTATGACTGCGTGTTTCAATTTGAGAAATTGAGGAACTTAGTTGTAAAGTGGGTTTTAAGATACAGACTTAAAGTGAGACAGTTGGCTAATGTTTGTGGAAAAATAAAACAGACGTTGGTCACAAACCTTCTGTAGGTAGAATGCGAGTCTTGGCCTACTAGGGGCAGTCGTGGGGTCCCCCCAAAATCAGGACCTGATGACAAAACCCAAGCCCATTTAGGGTGAAGCGTCAGTCATTGCTATGAGTGTCTGTTGGTTTTGTGTGTGTGGTTTTCAGCTTGGGAGGCAGGTGGTCAGGCGGCCAGAGAGAACTTCAGTCTGCTGCTTCATTCATTGCCCAAACGCCCACTACAGCCTGGCTGGGCTAGGTGGAAACCCAGAGTCAGGAACTCAGTCTCAGTGTCCCATGTGGGTGTCAGGGCTTGAGTAGTCGCTGTCACTGCCGCCTGGCAGAGTCTGCAAGAGGAGGAAGCCGGAGCCAGGTGTGTGAGCCAGGCGCTGTGCTGTGCAATACCAATGCCTAAACAGCATCTTAACCATGGCCACATGCCGGCCCCCACCTGTGAAATTTTAGGAAGACACAAGCTTTATAAAAATAATAAGCTTTTTGAAACTATTAAGATAGAAGCTGGCTTTGTGGCGTAGCGGGTAAAGCTGCTGACTGCAATTCTAGCGTCCCGCTGCTCCACTTCCGATCCAGCTCCCTGCTAATGCACCTGGGAAAGCAGTGGAAGACGACCCAGGTGTGTGGGCTCCTGCACCCACGTGGGAGACCCGGATGAGGCTCCTGGCTCCCAGCTTTGCTTGCCCACACCTGCTGTTGCAGCCATTTGGGGAGTAAACCAGCAGATTGAAGATTCTCTCTCTCTCTCTCTCTCTCTCTCTCCCCACCCCCTGTAACTCTGCCTTTCAAATAAATATTAAAAAAAAACCCTCATGAGATAACACAGCCTGGGGAAGTGGTGCAGTGAGAAACTGCAGATGAGGAGTGGAGGGAGTGTTTGCCACGTTCGCTGACCCGCACGCTGCCTGCTCTGCAAGGGAGGTCGTGTGTTGGGGTCATCGCTGCCCCGGCGTTGGGGGCGGCCTCTCAGCCTCAGGACACACAGGTCGTGTGTGTCCCGCCAGGATCAGAGAAAGCAGCAAAGAGTGAGAATCACAGGGAGGTCAGCTGTGTGAAATTCTTAGCACAGCACAGGCGGGCAGCTCCCCACGAGTGCGCAGGAAGGCGCAGTCCCCGGCCGGGGCGGGAAGGGGTGGGAGGCTGCGGCGCCCCTGACCACTGTCCTCCTTTTGCAGAGTGAAGCGCGCAGCAGAGCGGAAGCTGGCGTCTCCCGGGTCGGAAGCAGCTTGTCCTCCGTGTTGGGATCTGAGCGGTGACCCTGCGAGCCGCCCACACCTCTCGCGCTCCCACGCGGGGCGTTCACCATCGTGCTGTCCATGTCCTGTTTGTTGTTGATTTTTTAAGAAAAAAAAAAAAAAAACACAGAATTAGCTGAAGGAGCAATTCTCAAAGACCGTTGGATGTTCCCATTGGCTGCAAGACGTCAGGGCCAGTGTCTTAATCTCCTTCTCACTTTGATCTTGGCTCAGCAAAGGCGCCCCTCAGCATGCTGGGAGATTCTACCGACAGCCATGGAAGTGGTAAAATCTGGTGTTTCCTGGCACCCTCTCAAAGCTACCACAGTCCTACCTCAGTTCAAGGCTAAGCCGGAGCGGCGTGGCCGGGGCCGTGGCGGGGCGTGTGCCCCGTGTCCGACGCCAGGCACCTGCCACGTGCACCCACACACAGCTCAGCGGGGGACTGACGCATTCCCACGGGAGTGAAATCTGGGACTGGACTCTGAAGGGGGATGGATGATGGTGACTGTCCGTCACCGCGGCAGCTGGGCTGGGGAGCGGGCCGGGGAGGGAAGGGCTGCTGTCTGCTCGTCTTTTCTGCATCCGTGTGTCTGGCAGAGGCCTTTGGTTCTGCTCACCCGCACACACGTCTCTGCTGTCCTGAGCCGCGGGGCTCGCGTTTCTGTAACCAAAAATCCACGTAGGCCTGCTCGCAATTCAGGGGTGGCGCGGGTTTGGTAGACTTAATTTAAAAAACAAACAAAAAAATTGTATTGTCTTTATATAATGCTATGATGCTGGCCAATGAGGCTGCCTTCTGAACAAAAAAAAAAAAGAAAAAAGAAAAAAAAGAAACTAATTTAAAAAAAAAGCATTCCAGCCCTTGCGGTATTCATGGAGAGAGAAAAGAATCCCACGGTACGTGTTACTCGCCGGGAAGACCCCCGACAAGGCTGCCCTCGTTCCGTGTTTTCAGTCTCTGTATCAGTGTTGTGGCAGTCACCACAGACGTCACCGGAACTGCTGAACTGGACCAGCAGAATGTCCCGACACCTTGCTGCTCCCTGGGCACCGTCCGGAGGCGCACCCAGCCCTGCGTCCCCTGACCGTCACCTAGAGGTTACACTAATCCATTGGACATGTGAGTGGTTGGTTGGTTTTTTGCTTTTTTGTTTTGTTTTCATTTTGGAGAAGAAATATATATATATATAAATAGATAGATCTATATCACTATAGAATAATGCATTAATAAATCGAGGCTTCTGTAGAGAAACACCAAAAAATCCAATGTCTTAAAAATGTATTTAATGGCAATGCGAGGGTCTTGCTGCCGCCACTAGGAGCGGCTGGGACAGAGGCTTGCATTGCAAGACAGAGCTGAATGTACCGTGATCCCCCTGGACACTCAAGGTTTCCCTTGTAGGAAGTCACACGTCACCTTGTTGGACGGAAGGCTGAGTTTGGTGTGTGGCATCCTCTATCAAGCTGTATAGAAAGTCCCGACGTCTCTGTGTCGTGTGGGGACTGCGAATCCGGGCGGGGGGCGGCTGCTGCCTGCCCGCCCCAGGTACGACAGGACGGAATGTGTGCTTACTGTAGCCGTGACACTAGACAGGTGGTTCCCGTTCACCCTGTAACTTAAAGCAAGCAAAACGCGAAGGTGATAAGATGCTAAATTCTCCTCTATCCTGTACATTTCAAAAAGAAAAAAAGGCATATGCAATATTTACATTTTTAATTTAGTTTACAGAATGGAACCAAAATGTATAAATGTTATGTTTGCTAAAACTTCACGATGTATATTGGGTCTTTGTACATTTTGCCTGATTTACCTTAAATTTAAAATATTTTTTGCTATATAAACTTTAACAGTTATTAAACAGTGTTTTCTTTTTGGGTACGTATTGTTTCTGGATATCAAGATGTTAAATATATTTCTTGCTATTGTGATATGACAAGAGACTTAACTTATCTTGCTCTGTCTTCCACTGTACACGCTGTATATAGGGCCAGAGACAAGAATAAACTGGACTATCCTAGTGCATTGTGTGTAGTTATACTGACCATGGACGCCGCCTTATAGCCATACGCAATAAATAAAAGACATTATTTATGAAATAAACACGGCCTCCAGGGGTTTTCTTCTGCTAATTTATGCCTCGGGGTTTTGGTGTGAGCAACATTTGTTCTAGAGAGCAGAAGACAGCCTCCGTGCCCCCATCACAGAATTCCTGTAAAATCAACGTGCTCCATGCCGTGCCCTTCCTGACCCAAACCCAGCATCCTCCCGACGTGTGGGCGCTGGCCCGGATGCTCCACACATAGGAGCCCCCTCGCAGCTCATCACCACAGAGGTGGGAACTGCTGTCGCATTCTATGGATGGGGAAGAGATGGGGTGAATGGTTGGGCTGAGGGCTTGCAGCCCGTGAGAGGCACCGGTTGCCCTGGGCTCCGGCCCCAATGCACACACAGGGATCTGCGAATCCCTGTGAAGCGGAGACACCATCGGACCCCAGGGGCTGCAGCTGTTAGGAGGCAGAAATACATGAGTGACACCTGTTGACTTCCATCAGAACCACATAGGTCTTTCAAACAAATATCATCAGGACCAGTTGGAAGGCAACTTTGCAACCATGGTTTTGTTGAAGTCAGGACCAGCACGTGCTGGAGGGTGGAAACCTGGGCCAGGGTAGCTGCTGCCCCAAGGCCACCTGCTGTGCCCAGGTAGTTGTTCCGGGGGGCTCTGCTGGTCCCGCGTGGTGGGAGGCTTGATCTGCAAGGTTTGGGGTGCCCACAGTCTGCTAGCTCTCTGCAGGATAGGACCAGTGCTGTCCGTCATGTACAGCGTGGAGGAGGAGTTGCTTCCAAGGTGTGTGGATGCCGGAAGTGCTCACCAGCACCAGGGAGGAGCTTGGAGCAGAATGTTGTCAGGAGGCTGAACTGGATGAAGGGCAGAGATGCCACTGGCTTGGCTCCGCCCACACCCGCACCCCATGCACGTGGAGGGTGCCCACTGGTGCAGGGTCCGTCGTGGCACACAGGGCCCCGACTCCAGGCTGACTCGTGGGAGCCAGGGCGCCACAGTCGGACAGCCTGAGCAGGGGGCTCTCCCTGTCTCGGGCTACTTGTAAGGAGCTGTGAGTGCCACTAGTGAAAGGTCGGGGACCAGGAGTCCTTGGAAAATGGGCGGCGCCTCTTCCCTCTGCATTGTACACCGCTACGGGGGGCTGAGCGCGGTGTAACCGGGTACCGCATGCGGTGGACAGGTTAGTAACCACAGCCAGCCCTGGAGAGTCTGGCGGGCTCTCTCCTCTCGGCTCTTCAGCCTGTTCCTCCATGGCCCCAGAGGACGCCACCCAGCATCCTGCCAGCACCCACAGCTGCACGCTGGCCCGACTTCCCTAGCGCCCGCAGCTGGGATCAGGTGGAGGCTCCTGTCCGGATCCGGGCCCTCGGTTCCTCTGACCTGGGTTCCATCTGCGTCTGGATCCCTGCGTTCCCTTCTCTGGTCCAGGATATTCCCTCTGCCCACCTAGGATCCACAAGCTCCAAAGTTGACCAGAATCACAGCCCAAGTCTAGCTGCCCCGCGGGGCGGCCCGGAGCTCTCGCCACGGAATGAACGGCTCACAGGCAGCCTCCAGAGCTCCCTGTCCCTGACTACCAGGGTGCAGGCGCCCCTGACAGACAGCAAAAGTGTCCTGCCCATCGCGACACCGTCTTCTGGAGAGGGGAGGCATAAAGCCGCAACACGATAGCTGTGTCCACTGGGGTTTGTAACAGTGAGTTAGAGACCCCGATGGCCTGGCTGGATGTCACCTGGGCCCCGTGACCACTGTCGCCTGGGCCGCGTGACCACAGACGGCTGACCGGGAGTTGGTCCTTTCCCAACAGCTCCTGGGCTGGGACGTGCTGGGTGCTGGCCCGTCGGAGGGTGAGGCATAGACACATGCCTGGTGGAGACCGGCTCTGACCTACTCACTGCGGGTCCTCACAGGGCAGAGGGAGGTGGGCAACTCCGTGGGGTCCTTGTGCAAGGCCACCAGTCCCCCGCTCGCAGAGGCTCCACCCCCGACCTGAGTTACCCTCCGTGACCCCACTCCTAGCTCCGTCACTTTGGGGGTGGGGTTTTCAGTGTGTGAATCGGGGGGACGCAGATATTCAGAGCAGGCCCGTCTCAAGCTTTAGCCTTACCAGGTCAGCAGGTACAAAGAAGGCTGACAACCTGCATTTCTGGAAGTTTCCAGGCCTGCAGACAAGAAGGGGACTTAGGATGGAACAGAACGAGAGGGTCAGGTTTGCAGCCCTGGGTCTTTGCATCTTTCTGCTCTGCCAGTCCCAGATATTTTTGGGTCTCAGACTGGGCCTCTTGCATGTCTGAGAGCTGCAAGCGCTCCCCTAATACCCTGGAAAGGTGGTGCCTCTCCCTTGGGAGTGTCTGAGTGCTGGGACGACCCCAGAGCCACCCCCCCCCCCGCTGTCTCCTCCTCAGTCCCCAGCATGCAGAATTGGCCATGTGCTGACCCCTGGGGAAGGCGGTGACCACGACGTTGGCATGCAGTCCCAGGAGGAGACACCTGAGCAGGAGCTGGGCCGGCCAAGAGGGAGTTGGCGGAAGGGGTGGCACGCCTGGGCAGGCGGCTAAGAGTGCAGAGAATCAGTGACCAGAACCCTGTCTGATGGGAGTGGCTCTCCAGTGCAGGATACGTGTCCACATGGGGCACCTGCTCCTGAGGCCACAGAGATCCTAAGAAGAGCGATTTGCAGACAGAACCCAAGGAAGTCGCAAATCCAGCGTGAGCAGACACGAACGGTGCTGCTGACCGAGGTGGGCGGAATTGCCACATTCAAGCCCCCACCCCACCACTCTCTTGGAAGGCGTTTTATGAGAGCTCAAACTACCAAGGGTTGGCAAGCAGGGCCTTGGAAGGTTCCAGAAAGAACTGTGACCTTCGGATCAGGGGCGATGGTACCCAGAGAGGGGGCGCGAGGTGGCCTGAAGCCCCCGGCCCCAGTCTTAGAGCTCATCAAGGCTCCTCTGAGGATGGGCGGCGGGAGAGGGACTTGGCGTGGGATCCCAAGTTGATTTTGGTGCAAAAGTTAGCACTGGCCAGGTTTGAACAGGCGGAAGAATGATCAGAGTTCCTTACATGCCTTGTTCGTCAGATCAGCGTCTGAGGGTCGGAAGCAAAGTTCTACACACAGAGAGGAGAGCTCAGGTTTTAGGCCGGTCCTGACTACTGCCCAGCCTCGCACGGGACAGGGCTGGGGGAGCGCTTCTGGGCCATGACCCTCACAAGGGATCCCTCAGGGCGACCATCGTGGTGAAGAACACCCCCCCACACACTATCTAGCAGAAAAAGCCCCAGTGCCTGAGCAGGTGCACCCAGGTCTGGCTGCCACCCCCGCTTCTTCCAGCTCACCCGCGTGGCTCACCTGCTGCGCATGGAAGGGGACGTGGAGTGAGGGGAGAGGAACTGCTGAACCTGCGATACGCTCTTGTTTACACACGATATTATTTCCTGAAAAGCTCCCTCCGGGAGCGTTGATCCAGAATCTTAGAAGTTGGAAGCTTTAAAAAAAAATACACATGCGAGCTTCACACAGCATCCCTGAGACATCTGACGACTCCGTCACCTTTGTTTTTGCCTTCCTTGCATTTGTTACACACAAGATTTTAAAAAACCACACTCTTCTGTCACGCACTTCAAAGGGTCTTTAACTATTCACCCCCCATTTACTTTGATTGGTTTCCCGCCACTGGTCCTTTGGGCATGGTTAGTGTTGATTCATCTAATTGCCTGGATTTTGTTACTAAAAACAAGACAACGAAGCTCATAGCCTTTTGCAGAAAATCCTTTCTGGGCCCCGTGTTCCCTGAGTTCTCTCGTGCTGGAGAGCGATCCGCCGCAGGCTGGTGGGGGAGGGGATCCTTGGGTTGCAGGCTCTTTTCTCGGAATGTGTAGACTCTTCTCCCACTGCACAGGTGCAAATGCCCTGTGGCTGACATGCGGAGAGAGGCCTGTCATCCAGCTCCTGGTCGTCTATTCTGCTTTTCAGTCTCATAGTGAGAATTCCCAAATAGCCTATTGACGTTTTTCCACATTAGGGCTGCCATAAGAGCTTTGCTTTAGGAGCCGGAGTTGTGGTGGGTCATTGCCTGTGACACCGGCATCCCCTATGGGCACCAGTTGGAGTCCCAGCAGCTCCGCTTCTGATCCAGCTCCCTGCTAATGCACCTGTGAAGGCAACAGACGATGGCCTGAGTGCTTGGCCCCCGCCACCTGCATAGATCAGCTGGAGTTCCAGGCGCCTGGCTTCCGCCTTGCCAGCCCTGGCCACTGCAGCCATCTGGGGAGCGAACCAGCAGATGAAAAGACCACTGTCTCTCTCTCTCTCTGTAACTCTGCCTTTCAAATAAACAAATAAATTTATAAAAGAAAAAGAGCTTTGCTTTACTTCCCAACCAGAGACAGGAAGAGGAGCAAGCACAGCATTAAGCAAACGGAAGTTCCCCTTTGCCTCTGAGCTCTATTCCGTGGGCGGCAGGACACGGGTGCCCTGGCGAGGCCAGGTGTGACACCACACGCGGGAAGGGCTGCAAGTGCAGAGCCGGGTCCAGCACAACGTGTGGCCTCCTGAGAGCCCCAGGGCTGTGGCAGCGCTGGGGGACAGCGTACTTGGCTCTCTCCATTCTCACATGTGCACGGGTGGGCTGTGGGAGCAGAGGCTTCGGGGGACCCCCAGCTCTGGTGCTGCACCTGGGCCTGGTGTGGAGGTGTGCTCCCTGAACCTCAGGTGTGGGTGCACCTGCTGTGGCCAGGTGGGGCTCCGAGCAGCAGGCTGCCACGTGGGGGTCACTCCGAAGGCTCCTGGTGAAATCTCAACGCCGAAGGGCACGTGGAATAAAAACAAAACACCAGGCTGCGTGTTCTCGGTGTCTCCTGACGTCAGTGTTGTTTGCAGTATGATTGGTATCAAGACCACCAGTGTCGGTCACATCATAAAAAAAACAGCCGTGGCGTCTCAAAGAAAGTCAAAAGCCGCTGGTGACGAGGTCCCTGGTGTCACAGCACGGTTCATTGTTGATGGAGGGCAGAAGTTCTCATCCTGTAAACGCAGCCAAAGATTAGGTTGTGCAAGGAATGTGCCCTGGCAGGCTGTTCCACGAAGGCAGGGCATGCCCAGAACCGACCACGGGCCGGTGCTCAGACAGATTAGGTATCTGTCTGCCTCCCAACCGCGGGGTGCTGGGCGCCGGCCAGCAGGGGAGCCCTGCGAAGCAGCAGTGCCCCCAGGCAAGCCCCCTGCCCCACACTTGGAAGCACAGCAGGGGAAGGCTGCAGCCGGAAGCAGCACCCAGCTTCCTGCCTGCAGGGAGCTGCACAGCCTCTGCTTTGGGGGGAAGTAGCATCTCGCGGAGAATCGGCTGCCAGCCTGGGCCCTGGGCGCCCTGCCAGCCAGAGCAACACCGCCGGCTTGCTTCTCCTCCACGCTCTGTCCTAAGTGAGCTGAGACAGGTTAGCCCTCCACCTGGGCCCCTCCCTTGCCCCCATCTGCCCTGGAGACAGGAATCCTGCAAGTGAGGGCTTGGGCGCTGCAGCTGCAGCTGCCCGCTGCCTCACTGGAGGTTGTGACCAGGGCCCAAGGACACCCTGGCCCCACTGCCTCCTCCTCAGCCCCGAGGGCTGCATTGCCGAGCATTCCAGAGCCCCAGGCTGCAGAGGTCAGCCACTCCTACCTAGGCGGGAAGCCAGTCTTCTGGTTGCTGCTCTTAAAACCAACACATGCTCCGTCTTCCCATCCGGTCCATTTCCTGAAGACGTGAACCTCCTGGTCACCTCCTACAGCCTTGGCCCGCTCAGTCCAGGTTGACCATGTGCACCCAGGTGGCCAGAGCCAGCCTGCTGGCTTCCAGAGTCCCCCGAGACCCACTACTCTCCCTCTCAGCTCACCCTATGCCCTGGGAGTCGTCCAAAGGAAGGTCACTCTCCAAGGCACCATTGGAAGGGAGCAGGTATAACTCCAGCCATGCAATCTAGAATCACCCGGCCGTGGTTGCAAGGTGCAGCCCTGTAGGTTTGCCTCCAGTGCCCTCGGAATCCCGGAGCCACCCCTCTGGCATCCTCGGGCAGGTGCATTGAGCGCCACGCAAGGCAGTATGGGAGCTTTAAGCACCTCCCTCGCCTCTCAGTTGCACGTCTCCCAGGGGAAGCAACGCTGCCCCCTTCACCGAGCCTTCTCCCCACACACAGGGGGTTGCTTCCTCTTGGTCCCTGCAGGCATCCAGGTGTGGCTGACCACGTGTTCAGCCCGAGCAGGGCAGCTCGCAGGGCTCAGCGAGCAGCAGCAGGTGCAGGGGCAGACGGTGAGCCCACTGCAAAGGCTGACCGCGCTCCTGTTTGATTGCTGGAGAGGAAGTCCACTCCGGAGGGCTTTCCAAAGTCCTCCTTGGTTCTGGAGTTCCACTTAAGTCCCATTAAATCTGCTCCATAAACGTTATCTTGGAGAAAAGAAGAAAGCAAACCTTTCATTGTTTTTCCTTTACGTGGAGGTCACGTTGATAGGTGAGACTTTTAATTATTGACCTGCGCCAGGGTGCACGTGTAAGTTTAAAATAGAGGTTGAAGTCATTTCTGTGTCATTTCTCTGGAAAACATGAACTTTCAGTCTCTACTTGTAAAATTCGCCTTGGGAACAGTTTACGAGGGTCGCTGGACCGAAGCCTTGTAAGTAGAAGTTGAGATACATAGGCGGCCGAGAAGGGTACACAGGGTCCCCTCACTCTGTGGTTCGTGGAGAATTCATGGAACGACCAACGCCTCTAGGAAATCAACAGAGAAAGCCTGGGCTCGCGTCCTGCAGGACACAGGGCGACTGAAGCGCCCGGCCAGCCTTCACTTTTTCCGCTCCGCGGGCACAAGAGTGTGGTCCCTGTGACTGCTGTGGTGTCAGTGAAAAGCAGAGCTGCATAATGGTCCCTTCAAAGAGCGAGGCAGCCAGGGCTCCACATAGTCCCCAAAGCCACAGCAGTCACCGTAATGAGCGGCACGCCTCTGCATGGATTGGCTTTGGCACACACCTGGAGTGACTCAAGTGAGTCCTTCCTTGAAAGGTAAGAGGTGTCACATGGGATGCCCGGATGGAGCTCCGGGCTCCTGGCTTCAGCCTGGCCCAGCCCTAGCTGTGGTGGCCATCTGGGGAGTGAGCCAATGGACAGAAGACCTCGCTCTCTCCCTGTAACCCTGCCTTTCAAATAGATGAAACAAACAAACAAACAGGCAGCTGTGTTTGCTGTTCAGTTTCTTTGGACATTTTCCTTGTGAAACACGTTTTCCAGGTGAAGGATGATCAAGTAATACATCAGCCGCAAGTTCAAGACCCCCAGCAGGTGCCCCAAACCATGGACAATACCCCCAACTTGTTATAATACTCTCTTTTTCCTCATACACGACACCTGGGATAAAGTCTAATTTGTAAATTAGGCCCAGAAAGAGGTGGGCAGCAGTAGCTAACCATAGAGCAATGGTAAAAGCAGAGTGAGACAGCTACACGAATCCGGTCTCTGAGTGTCTGACCCAGCCTTCTTCCACCTCTCCACGCCTCCCGGACGCACGCATGGCCAGCGATGTCACTCTGTGCGCAAACAGGCAGAAGCGCAGCTGACGAAGGGTCAGTGTCGTACCCAAGGCGGCTGATGACCAGCAAGAGGACGCAGGCAGGACACTTGCGCGGGGCGACGGGGTGGGCGGCCCGACGGTTCCCGCGCTGCTTAGAGAAGCCCAGATCACGAGGCATGCCTTGCTCGAGTCTGCAGTTTGCCATTTTGTGCTTTTAGATCCCCGCTGGCCACAGTCACACTTTTGGGGGCTGCTGTGCTGCCCCCACCCCTGGAGATCAGGTTCGAGGGCAGGTCCTGGTTCAGGGCGTCTCACGGCCCCTGTGGTAGCACCTGTGCTGGGGACAGGAGAGAGAAGTGTGGGTGAGCAGGGAGCCACTGTGGGCAGAGGGGTCACTCTGAGAGTCAGGGCCCTGACACACTCCTTCTTTGCTCCACAGACCTCTGGGGGAGAGGGGGAGCGGGAGGAGCTGCCATGGACGGTGGTGGCCGGAGACGGCGGCCCCGGCGGCTGCCTGGACACAAGCATGCCTGAGCATCTCTGCTTGCAGGCTCCCTGGGGACCTGCCTGGCCTAGACATCCTCTGTTCCACCTGGCACAGCCGACCAGTATCCCACTGTCCCCAGGGATCATCTGGCATGATTCAGTCTCTGTCCTGTGTGGGAGGAATGGGTGTCTCTCTCTCACCAGTGTGTGGCGAATGGGAGCCTCCTTCTCCCATGTGGGGCGAATGGGGGTCTCTATTTTCTGCGTGGAGCGAATGGGGGTCTCCCTCTCCCGTGTGGGGCGAAGGGGGGTCTCCATCTCCCGCGTGGGGTGAAAGGGAGGTCTCGCTCTCCCTCATGGAGCGAATGGGGGGTCTCCCTCTCCCGCGTGGGGCAAATAGGGGTCTCCCTCTCTCACATAGAGTGAATGGGGGTCTTGCTCTCCCGCGTGAACCGAATGGGGGTCTCCATCTCCCGCGTAGAGCGAATGGGGGTCTTGCTCTCCCGCGTGGGGCAAATGGGGGTCTCCCACTCCCACGTGGACCGAATGGGGTTGTCTCCCTCACTGCGTGGTGTGAGGAGTATGGGAGTCCCTCTCCTGCGTGGAGTGATGGGGGTCTCCCTCTCCCGCATGGAGCGAATTGAGTCTCCCTCTCCCGCATGGTGTGAATGGGGGTCTCCCTCTCCCGCGTGGAGCAAATGGGGGTCTCCCTCTCCCACGTGGAGTGAAGGGAGGTCTCCCTCTCTCACATGGAGCGAAGTGGGTCTCGCTCTCCCGCATGGACCGAATGAGGGTCTCCATCTCCTGCATGGTGTGAATGGGGGTCTTCCTCTCCCGGGTGGAGTGAATGGGGGTCTCCCTCTCCTGCATGGACTGAATGAGGGTCTCCATCTCCCGCATGGTGCGAAAGGGGGTCTCCTTCTCCCATGTGGGGCAATAGGGGTTCTCCATCTCCCGTGTGGAGCGAATGGGGGTTTCCCTTTCCCGCATAAAGCAAATGGGGGTCCTCCTCTCCCTTGTGGAATGAATGGGGGTCTCCCTCTCCTGCATGGTTCAAATGGGGTCTCCTTCTCCTGCATGGTGCAAATGGGGGGGTCTCCCTCTCCCACGTGGTGTGAATGGGGGTCTCCTTCTCCCGTGTGTGGTGAACTGGAGCCTGTCTCCTGCGTTGGGTGAATGGTGATCCCTCTCCTATGTGAGGTTAACTGTGGTCCCTCTCTTGCATGAGATGAATGGGGGTCTTCCTCTCCTACATAAGGCGAGCTGGGGTCCCTCTCCCATGTGGGGTGAATAGGGGTCTCCCTCTCCCCTGTGGAGTGGACCTGGGTCCCTCTTCTGTGTGGGTGAATGGGGTCCTTCTTCCTCGTGGGGTGAATGAGGGTCTCCCTCTCCTGTGTGGGTCAGACCCGTGTCCCTCTCCTGTGTGGGGTGAATGGGGTCCCTCTCCCTCGTGGGATGAATGGGAGTCTCTCTCTCCCACATAGTGCAAACTGGTGTCCCTCTCCTGTGTGGAGCGAATGAGGGTCACTCCCACTCCTGTGTGGGGCAAATGGGGGTCCTTCTGTCATGTGGGAAAAATGGGGTCTCCTCCCATGTGGGGCAAACTGGGCTCCCTCTCCCATGTGGGAAATGAGGGTCTCTGCCTCTCCTGCATGGGGCAAACTGGGGTCCCCCTCCCACGTGGAGGAAATGGGGGTCACTCCCTCTCCCACATGGGTTGAATAGGAATCTCTCTCTCGTTCGCAAATGGGGGTCTCTCCCTCTCCCATGTGGGGCAAATGGGGGTCTCTGCCTCTCCTTTTGGGGCAAGCGGGTGACCCTCTTCCATGTGGGGCAAATGAGGGTCTCCCTCTCCCATGGGGGGCAAATGGGAGTCCCTCTCCCATGTTGGGTGAATGGGGTATCCCTCTCCTGCGTGGGGCCAATGGAAGTCTCCCTCTCATGTGTGGGATGAATGGGATTCTGCCTCTCCCATATCAAGTGAACTGGGGTCCCTCTCCTACACGGGGCAAATGGGGGTCTCTCCCTCTCCCATGTGAGGCAAATGTGGGGTCTCTCTCTTCCATGTGGGGTAAATGGGGGTCTCCCTCTCCCATGTGGGGTGAATGGGAGTCTCCTTTTCCCTTATGGAGTGAATGGGGGCCTCCCACTCCCATGTAGGGTGAATGGGGGTCTCTCCCTCTCCCATGTGGTGCAAATGTGGGGTCTCTCTCTTCCACATGGGGTAAATGGGGGGTCTCCCTCTCCCATGTGGGGTGAATGGGGGTCTCCCTTTCCCGCGTGGGGGTGAATGGGAGTCTCTTCTGCGTGGGGTCAATGAGTGTCTCTCTCCTGTGTCGGGTAAATGGGTGTCTCTGTTCCATTGTGCATAAATCGGCGGTTGCCCCACCCCCCAAGGCACCTGGGTGCCTCTTGGTGAAGTCCTGGAGCAGAGGAGGACCTGAGACTCTGAGTGTCTGCAAGACTTGCCTGCCGCACTCCCAGCAGCAGGCACCAGAAGGCAAGGGAGGCCCTGGCCTCGCTCTGCTCACGCCTGCTACCCCAGGCCTCCGTGTGGCTGCTGTGACTTCCCTCTTCCCACAAATGCACCTGAGATGCAGACTCTGCTCCCCGGCTACGTCGGTGCTGTCTGGGGGGCGCTGGTGTGGCACGGCGGCTCCTCTGTGCCCTGACCTTGCCCGTCCTGTGTCCTACATCCATGTTCCCTTCTGCCCTGCTGCACCCTACCCACTCCCAGATCAGGGCTCTCGACCCTGCCTTCCAGGAGCCACAGCCTCAGAGGCACCTGCCTGCCAGGGAAGTCACAGGACGGGCCTCAGGTATCTTGGGCCCCCTACCCATAATGGGGCCGTGAGCCTGTTGGACGCACCCCAGAAGCCTCTTCATGGGCACAGCCTCCAGCCCTGCCCCCCAGAGCCCCTCTCCTGCCAGTCTCCCAGTTTCCATAAAGAGTAGCACCCCCAGCCCACTGAGCAGGTGACCACGGGAGGCCAGCTGCAGTCTGCTCTCCGCCTCTCCCATGCCCACCCCTCCCCTAACCCAGCCACTCCCCTGCACTATTTCTGTGGTGACCTCTTAGGGGTCTGTCCACTCTCCCACCCCCTCCCTACCCACTTCTTCCAGCTTACAAACCCCCTTTCTCTGCAGGTCCCCACGGCAACACTCATCCGCCCTGCAGTACTGGGAGCAGGGGAGCCTTGCACGCGGGAAGGGAGAACCCTACGCGGGATCCCACTGTCCCCTGCCCGTCCGGATCACGGCCACAGACGTGACGTCTAGATGCAGCCCGCAGGTGGTTTGCACGGTCGATGCCCAAGAACAGGCGCTCCTGCCTGCCTTTCCTTTCTGCACTTTGTAGCGTGAACCTTCCTGCCGGTCGGTGCCAGCATGGCCTGCTTCCCTCTGTCGGGCACTTCCGCTTGCTGCCACTGATGTCCAGTGATGTCTCCTGGTCACCCCACTTCTCCGGGCCTGGGGCTTCTCTTAGCCCAGGGCACTGGGACGCCTCCGTGTGGGTCTTGGCAGAAGGAAGCAGTGACGAAGCCGACACGGGGTTCTGAGAGGAGGAGCTGAGTACACAGGGAATTGGTTGTCAAGGAAGCAGCTGGGGCCAGGCTGGTGCTGTCGCTTAGTGGATAAAGCCACCGCCTGTGACGCCGAAGCCGGCATCCCACATGGGCGCCAGTTCGTGACCGACTGCTCCACTTCCGATCCAGCTCCCTGCTAATGGCCTGGAGAGCAGTGGAGGATGGCTCAAGTGCTTGGGCCCCTGCACCCATGTGGGAGACCCGGAAGAAGCTCCTGGCTTTGGCCTGGCCCAGCCCTGGCTATTTCGGCCATCTGGGAGGTGAGCCAAAGAATGGAAGATTCTCTCTCTCTCTCTCTGTAACTCTGCCTTTGAAGCAAATAAATAAATCTTTACAAAGAAGAGTAGCAGCAGCAGCAGCTGGGGCCAAAGTAAATTAGAGTCTGAGAAAGTAATTGAACACTATTCTTGGATTTGATTCCCCAAGTTAGGGTGTTAGGAAACTGGTGTAGGCTCTGATTCCTTATCTTGCTGGGTATCTGCGCCTCTCCCTGTAGCACTTCACAGTCGTCAGAATCCTTTTTGGGTGGGAGATGATTTGAGTAAAACTTGACACACAGCTTAATGCCCCTGTGTGTCTTCACTTTCCTTTACCACCTACAGAAAACCAGCTCACCGAGAATGACAGCTATGGGGAACAGAGCGAGCGTTCCACCTGCCGGGCTTCACCTGCCTTACCTCCGAGTTAGCTCACAGGTGACAGAACTACAATCATTCAGCTAGTGTCTGTCCTGATCCCCTACCTTGTGGCTGGCCCAGGTCCTGTGAGAGTCCACTGATTTTAGAATAAGTGGCAGACATTCAAACAAATCGTAAGAGAAACCCTGAAGATCTTTGCCCAAATCGCTGAAGGCCATTCCGCGTGTCGCATGACTCAGCTTCAGCCAGCGGCTCCGAGCCGGACTCGCCGCCTAGTCAGGCACAGAAAGTGATCTCTCGCCAAGATTTCAAGCTCCCTGTTCCCTCCTGGCCACGACACTCATCTTCTCTGTCCCCTCCTCTCCTGCAGCTGCCTGCAAACACAGCTGCCAAGCCAGTCCCCGGCTCCCGTCCTGCCCTGGACCCAGCGGCTCGCCTGCAGCTCTGCAGCTTTGGGTATCAGGGGAGGAGCGAGTTGCTTTCTCGCTGCCCTGAGCCGTGGCTAACAGGAGCTTCGAGGGTGACAGGGGCCAGCCCCACACCTAGGTCCCAAAGAGCTTTGCAGCTTCTGCCTTGGGACAATCCCAGGCACATCTACTAGATGTCACCCTGCAGCCCGGTTGTCCCAGGCACGGAAGGAGCGAGAGGAACAGTTACCTGCTGACCCACAGCCGTGTGGGCACAGGTGGCATGACGCAGCCTTGGCGTCTGCCACTGGGCGGCCTGGGCTGCTTGTGTAGCATCCCGAGGCACAAGGGGCACCTCTCGGGTTGGTCCCCGCTCCGTGGTCAGTTTGGGTTCTGCACCACTTCCCATCTCCCCTCCCTGACTTCCCACACTTGTCCTGAAGCAGGCAGGCAGCCACAGCAAGAGTGAGACGTGGGGTGAGAAAGGCCTGGAGGATCCCACACTCCCAGCCCCAGGTGACCCCGCGGCCAGGGATGTCCTGACCTTGGATGGCAGGGGACAGCAGAAGCCAGCACTGTGGTTTCTCACCTCCTTGTTCCCATACCTTTCATGCCACCCCAGGCCGCTGAGGTCACCGATGTTTTCATTTGCCCCTTGCAGCTGCTGGCTCAGCCCGGGGCCTGATCCTTCTCCCTGGGAGGGCCCTCGCCCCAGGCAGCCCCTCCCCTGCTCCCTGCCCCCAGGCCTCCCTGGTAGGGCCCCTGGCCCTGGGTGGGGACCTGGTTAGCACACTGCAGATTGGGAGGACCTGGAAGCCCCCTGCCCCAGGCTATTCAGCAGGGAGGGCGGGGAGGGGGGGGGCACTCCATGGACCTGAGGCGGCTCCTCTTTGTGTCCGTGAGGAAGGCAGGAAGCCACAGTTGAAGAGGCTTAAGACCAGGGAGACCCCCAGAAGTGGCTGTGGGAGGGACTCTCTGGTGGCCCTGCTGGTACATGGCAGGTGGCAGGGAGTACCCCCAACCCCTGCCTGTCCCTCGAACCCTAAACTCTTACTGCAATCGTCCTGGCATTACCAACGCCTCTGAGGTTTTAGACACCCATGCCGGGGAGGGAAACATGAGGGGCAGCTGCATTTTCTTTCCATAAATCAACTGGACTTACCTCCCCTGGTGTCCACTTCTGCTGCACAGACTGCTATAGACACCCCGGAATGGCCGGCTTTGCTGGTGCATAAACCGAGCTGGCTTTCCTTGTAGATTAGCAGGCATCCCTTTAACATGCGTTGCACAGTTCAAATCACCTTGCACTTGGTTTTATGGGGGAAAAGGGCTCGCCCCTCCCCCCAAAAGCATAGGAGAAGATGTTCCTTTAACAGACATTCCCAGGTGCGGTACAAATTACAGTTCAGAATTGACACGGTGACTGGGCTAACCTGTCCGACCCTCGGGAAGCAGCCGTGAGTTCATTTTCCTGTCTTGGGTCATGGGTGCATTCACTGTGCCCCACTTTGTGTGTCCTCCGATGCTTTGCAAATTCTCATATCCCGGCTGAGAATGAGCAGGCTGCTGTAGATCAATCCCAGGCCTCCTCCGGTGGTCTTCAGACTTGAGCCCGCCCCACGCCCCCCAGAAGTGAGCCATGCGGGAGCTGAGCGCATTCCTTTCCAAGCTCGGCTGACAGAAGGAAGAGTGAGCTGCTGAGTGGGGGCAGGGAGTGGGAGCAAGGTCCTTGGAGATCTCTCGCTGGGCTCCTGTTGGGGAGATGGAGACCCCCGGCCCTGGAGCGGGAGTTCCATGTCAGGAGGGCAGTGTGGGCGGGCGGCGAGGGCCTGCAGCAGACTTGGGGAAGTGCCAGCCGGCCGCTGAGCCATGCACAGCCCTGCTGGGGCGGAAGCGGCCCGAATGAGGGCCCTATCAGAAGCCAGCCAGCCGCAGGCATTCCTGATCCGAGGAAAACACTTTAATTAATATGTAAAACAGCAGCGGGAAGAGAAGCAAGGTTAATTTCCAAACCACATCACCGTGGGGGTGGCCTGCGGGTTATAAACCCTCGGGAAACTCTGAGAGGTACTTTTGTGGGGGAGCCGCTTCCCAGGGAGGGGCTCAAAGGCGCTTTCATGTGCCCCCCACGGGCCAACACCGCGGCCCCGGCCAAGCAGGCTGCCCTGTCTCATTTGCAATGCAAGCTCCGTTGAGGCTGGGGCCGTGCTGGTGAGCCTTCCCTGCTGCCTTCTTTGTTTCTGGGCCGCTGCCTTTGGAATCTGTGACCCAGGCAGCTCAGCAGAGGGCTGTGCACCTGCTGGGGTGAGGCCACAGCTCAGGGGCCTGGCCCAGGGGAGGCCAGGGGGTCCCAAATGCTGCCCCCAAGCCGTGCTTGCAAAGGCTCCCTGTGCCAAGGACCGGTGTTGTCTCTGGGGTCAGGTTTATGTGGGAGCAGAGCACACAGCTCTGCCGCAGCTGGCACAGTGCCTGGACAATTCCCACAATCACAGGACGGGAACAGCTTCCGCTCCAAGAGCCATCGTGGGCATGCGCCCCCTCCTCCGTGGGCAGTCTGTGCCCGTGGGCCCTCCGCAAGCCCAGTCAGGAGTCAGCCCCAGAATCCATCTCTCCGGTCCATTTCCTCTGCCACTGCCCCTGCAAGGACTCCTGCACCTGTGCCTGGCGTGGAGAATCACACTGAGCCCCACCATGACCCTTGTGTCCGCCATGCTGGCCAGAGCTGTCTCTCCATTTCCAAGGGCACCCCGGCGACCTCCAGAAGGAAGTCCAGGCTCAAGTGCGGCAGGTCCCTGGGGAGCGTTTCCCCTCTTGCTCTGGACAAGAGCGATGTCTGCTGCATCCCTGCAGCCACCTGCCTCACTGCGCCCCCCCTTTCTCCTGGGGCCCCCTCGCCTCGACGCTCTGCCCCGCGGCTGGGCACAGTTGCTGCACCCCCAGGGGATCTGGGCCTGGCGCTGCCGGCTGAGCGTCTGTCTCCTTTGGAGTCTGTGCCTTTCCCACCTCCCAGCTCTCGCCTCACTTTGGGAACCACAGACCCTGACTCTGGGGCACTGTGGGACCCGCATCTCTTGTCACTGTCTCTGTGTCACCGGCACATGGTGAGCCCTGGCTTATGCCCTCATTCGGGTTGTGTTAGTGATTTCAGGAAGAGAGTTTCCCAACATCCATACAAATTTTCCAAACCGCAGCTCTGGCTCTCAGGGGTTCCCAGGCTGGCCCCTGGGCCGGTCCCTGGGTAGCTCAGGACAAGGATTCTCCAGTCCCAGCGGTGCCGGTGGTGAGCAGGTGGCACTTCCCGGCCGACTGCTGCCCTGCCCACCGCGTTCAGGATCCTATCTACAGGAAGGAACACACGCAAACAAAATGCCGTGAATTGTCAATATAGGCGTAGCTACGTGTCTGCAACCCAGCTACCACCTATCTATCACCTGTCTCCTTGCTCTGTCATCTGTCCATCATCCGCCCAGTGGCTCTCTCCCTCCCAACCTATAGAGCTAAGCCAAGCTCTAACCCTCTCTGAACCTCGTGTTATTTATCCAGATAACTGGTTCAATCGCATCCACGTTTCAGGATCATTGTGGGGTTTGGAAACAGCAGCCAACACGGTGCCTGCCCCAGGAAGCACGCAGACGCCAGGGGGAAGGCGCTTCACCCCCAAGCCCACCTCCCCCAGGACAGGTGGTGCCCGAGGGCTCTGGGTCATAGGTACATTCACTGGCCACTGGCCATCGGCTTTGCCTCTCTCTCTCTCTGCGCTGCCACGTTAAAGCTCCCTTCTTGGAGGTGACGACTCCAGCTGCACAATTCTGCCTCGCAGGTCTCCGCTCTGTGCTCCAACACCGAGAACACCTCCGGGGAGCTTGTCTTAGGGGAACCGGGGCACCGGAGCTGTTTGGCTGCCCCACCTGTCCCCTCTTGGCGGGGGTGGAGCCTGTTTATCACAGCGACCTGAAGGACGATGATGGCCAGGGCAGCCAGCATTTACTGAGTACGCGCTGGGCGTTCCGTTTTACAGGGGAGGAAACCAAGGCTTTGCAGGCTAATGGCTCCTCTGAGACCAGCGGCTGGGGCAGGGGAGTGGGGAGCCGCTGAACTCGGCCTGCAGGGGCTCTGTGCCCGGATCACGCTGGGTTTGGTTTCTCTGCGGAGAACCGCGAAGCATTCACACGCATTCACACGCATTCACACTTGTTGATGTTGCTGTTTTGGATGATGTTGCTCTAAATTGGATTACATATAAATTCTCCCTCCCTCCCACATTCCCTGGGATTTTGGCAGTCAGTGAAGACTCTGCCTAATTGTTGCCGTGGGTGATTTTCTGAACTCGCAGGGCTGGGCCGGGGCCATCACACCGATTCTGCACACTGAAGAGACGCCTTTGTTAGGGCAAAGGCCACCTCAGGTGACCCGCGTCCTGAGCCACCCCCGATCTCTTGCACAAATTAATTTTCGAGGTTGCACAAGGAGAGGCCGGGCGGCCTGTTTCCTTTGGCACTGGCCAGGGGGCGGTGGGCTGAGGGGTGGGCGTGGCCCTGCCTCTGTCCCTGCCTTCACCCGTTCTCTGTTTTCACAAAACAGGAGCTGCATTTGGGGTGAGCCAGGGCTCCCCAGCCCCTGGCGGTCCCGCCTCCAACACCACCGGCCAGCATTCGACTCAGAAGAGCCTGGAGCTGCAGACGGGGGCTTTCCAGTTCCAGGGGCCCTGTGACCACCAGGACACGGAGCAGTGCCACTTCCTCTGGCTTGTAAATCGGTCACCGCAGTGGAGGCCCCAACCCTGCCCTGCTGATGCTGCCCGTGTGCGGCTCTCAACGCAGTGAACAGACAGGATGATGGGTGACGGCGCTGACCCTGATCAAACCCAACTCTGGGGAACAAACATGGTGATCCGTGCATCATCTTCCCTGTATTCGGGGCCAGACGAGCTTCTTGCACATCTGAGACTAACTGGCAAGAATCCTTTCCATCTGTCTTTTCATCTACGAGAGAGAGAGAGAGAGAGAGAGAGAGAGAGAGAGAGATATCTCATCTGCTGGGTCACTCCCCAAATGCCTGCAACAGCCACAGCTGGGCCGGGCTGAAGCCAGGAGCCAGGAGCTCCATCCGGGTTCTTCACGTGGGTGGCAGGGGCCCAAGCACCTGAGCCGTCTTCCCCTGAGTCCGTGGAAGCATCAGCTGGTAGCTGGCTGTACAGCTGAGTAACTGGGACTCCCACCGGCCCTACGAGGCGGGATGCGGCTTAACCCACTGTGCTCCAAGCCCCAGCAGTTCCCATTTACAGGGAAGATGGACCACAGCGTCTTGGGCTCAGGAGACTTCTTGGGGGACACATTTCCCGCCTGAGAAGAGTCAACGTGGCTGTGCTGCACCACGCGGTATCTCAGTGGCTCGTCAGAGGCAAGGCTCCCCTTGGACCTGAGTGGATCGAGGTGAACAAGGCGTCCCGTGACAAGGTCCGAGACAGCCGCGCCGGGGCAGGACGAGGCATCTGTTACCTGTGCCAAGCACATCACCCTCCCAACCATCTTGTTTACCAGGGCAGGGGGAACCCAGTACTCCCGACTGGGTGCTGGATTTAGGGGTGGGTGGAGGGGAAAGGGGGCACCTTGGGATTGAGTTTTGCCTCTTAATCAAAGCTCATCTAAATCGCGGTTCTGACGGCTCTCAGGTGAATAAAATGTTACACCCGGAGGCAGGAGGATGGGACCCCTTGCTGCCTTCATTAACCTGTGTGTTTGCACGCGGGCTGGGGCCACAGACCCTTGTGGGGAAGACACCTGGCCTTCTGCCTTCTTTCTCCAGTTAAGAAAATGTCCTTTCTTTCGTAAGATGGATTTGTTTTATCTGGTGAAGCTTCGACTCCCTTCTTTGTAAAATTTGCAGAATGACTGAAGTGTACCCAGGCCCAGGGGTTGGCGAGGTGCCTGGACTATACCTTGGGGTCCCTGCGAACCAGGGACTGCTTTGTCCATGACAGTGATCAGGGATCATCGGCCGAACAAGTCACAACTATAAAGGCCACCAAGTGTTGAGACACTGGTGCTAAGCCAGAGTTCTCTGGATCCCACTTCCGATGCAGCTCCCGCTGATGCACACCTGGGAGGCGGCAGATAAAGGCTCAAGTGGCTGGGTCCATGCCATCCATGTGGGAGACCCAGATGGAGTTCCTGGCTCCGGGCTTTGGAGCATTTGAAGAGTGAATCAGCCGATGGGATCTCTCTCCCTCTCTCTCCCCCTCTCTCCCCCTCTCTCCCTCTCTCTCCCTCTCTCTCTCTCTCTCTCTCTCTCTCTATCTCTCTCCCGCTCTCC